TGACGCAGCCAACTAGTAAGGGTTGTCACGTAAACAGAACGTGGCCAATTCGTCACCAGTACAGCACATCGGTTTGTTGGAGAGCCAAGCCACAACATTTACAATCTGAGTAAGACGTTTCGCCAGTAATTACAACCAGCTTCATCAGGCGACAGCCAGATTTGTGGAGAAGTCCACCAGTTTCGTTCTTTATGTAGAGGCTTAGATGTGGTGACCACGCTTCTGCCGTCTTGCACAATGTGGGAAGGGGGGATTACTGAGTCAACGTACATTATGCATATGCATTATGCGAGCCCTTTGAACTTGTCCTTCCTGTCTATTGTGTTTATTAAGATAGCCCTACCAATGGTAATCCCTATTGAAGCACGCTGCCCTTTGTAGGCATTCATTTGTAGTGGATTCAACTGAGTCGTAGACGCACTCTTTGGAGGCAACACATGTATTAACACCAACACAATGGGGTAATTGCCCCTTTACCAGATAACAACCTATGGTGGTGGACCACCAGGCTAACTACACTAATCACAACGTAACTAGTTACGTGACCACCAGGCTAACTACACTAATTACACCGTAACTAGCTACCTGACCACCAGGCTATCTACACCAATTACACCGTAACTAGCTACATAACCACCAGGCTAACTACACTAATTACACCGTAACTAGCAACATAACCACCAGGCTAACTACACTAATTACACCGTAACTAGCTACGTACCCACCAGGCTAACTACACTAATTACACCGTAACTAGCTACGTAACCACCAGGCTAACTACACTAATTACACCGTAACTAGCTACGTGACCACCTTGCTAACTACACTAATTACACCATAACTAGCAACGTAACCACCAGGCTAACTACACTAATTACACCGTAACTAGCTACGTGACCACCATGCTAACTGCACTAATTACACCGTAACTAGCTACGTGGCCACCAGGCTAACTACACTAATTACACCGTAACTAGCTACGTGACCACCAGGCTAACTACACTTATTACACCGTAACTAGCTACGTAACCACCAGGCTAACTACACTAGTTACTCTGTAACTAGCTACGTAACCACCAGGCTAACTACACTAATTACACCGTAACTAGCTACGTAACCACCAGGCTAACTACACTAATTACACCGTAACTAGCTACGTAACCACCAGGCTAACTACACTAATTACACCGTAACTAGCTACGTGACCACCAGGCTATCTACACTAATTACACCGTCACTAGCTACGTAACCACCAGGCTAACTACACTAATTACACCGTAACTAGCTACATGACCACCAGGCTAACTACACTACACCGTAACTAGCTACGTGACCACCAGGCTAACTACACTAATTACACCGTAACTAGCAACATGACCACCAGGCTAACTACACTAATTACACCGTAACTAGCTACAAGACCACCAGGCTATCTACACTAATTACACCGTAACTAGCTACGTGACTACCAGGCTAACTACACTAATTATATCGTAACTAGCTACATGACCACCATGCTATCTACACTAATTACACTTTAACTAGCTACATGACCACCATGCTAACTACACTTATTACACCGTAACTAGCTACATGACCACCATGCTAACTACACTAATTGCACCGTAACTAGCTACATGACCACAAGGCTAACTGCACTAATTACACCGTAACTAGCTACGTGACCACCAGGCTAACTGCACTAATGACACCGTAACTAGCTACATGACCACCAGGCTAACTGCACTAATTACACCATAACTAGCTACGTGACCACCAGGCTAACTACACTAATTACATCGTAACTAGCTACATGACCACCAGGCTAACGACACTAATTACACCGTAATTAGCTACATGACCACCAGGCTAACTACTCTAATTACACCGTAACTAGCTACGTGACCACCAGGCTAACTACACTAATTACACCGTAACTAGCTACATGACCACCATGCTAACTACACTAATTACACCATAACTAGCTACATGACCACCATGCTAACTACACTTATTGCACTGGGAGTAGCTACATGACCACCATGCTAACTGCACTAATTACACTGTAACTAGCTACATGACCACCAGGCTAACTACACTAATTACACTGTAACTAGCTACATGACCACCAGGCTAACTACACTAATTACTCCGTAACTAGCTACATGACCACCATGCTAACTACACTAATTACACTGTAACTAGCTACATGACCACCATGCTAACTACACTAATTACATTGGGAGTAGCTACAGCGGACACGACCCCAGCTCGGGTCCAGGTCCACGTGTTGGTGACTTTTCTCATACGTCAAACGTAGATTCTTCAGGATAACAACAGCAACGCTGAACCCCGGTCCCTCTGGGGACCCGGCTTATATCCTCACTTGTCGTAGCTGGCCCCGCCCTTGGCCACGTCCACCTCCAATCCTCTAGCAGGATCTCGCCCGACACGTGACCACCCCTAGCCTCCACTTGGGGCCCCTGTGTAGATTCTACCCGTCACGTGTCTTCCAGGGTCAACCAGAGTGCCATGTTCTACATTAACCCCATTCATGGCCAGCACTGTACGCCGAGCGTGGTGCCACTCGGCGCTCTTTATCAGCGCTCACCGATCCCCCTCTAGGGTACTACACCCACATGTACGGGGTGTCCGCGATGGCAATACATCACACGCTCGAGCCGGCATTACCCAGTGACATCCACTATGTCGCTACACATTTAAAGAATGTATTATTTGATGATTCGCTTCCACGCAGCACGAAGGCGGTAGCTATCCGAACGGTTAAGGTTATTTTGATTTATTTCAATTTCGATAGATTATCTAATTAGTCTTGGCCAGTAGTAGCTAGGTTTTCACAACACTTCAACATTATCAAAAGCAATTGACTGTCCTTGTTGGCACACGTGTGCTGCTACTGCTGACAGTTGTATTTGGGAGAATTTAATATTTCTCTCTTTTTTTTCGTCTCGTGCTGATCATTCGTCCTGTTTGCCCAACATAACATTTACCACACGTGCAGTTAATCCTGCACACACCTTCTGTTGATAGCTTCGGTAATACATCTTTCGTACCAGATATTAATTTCTGTATTTTATGCACCGTGCCAAATCTGACTTGGATATTTTGTTTTTACAAACATCTGGCAAAAGTTTATCAGTTACTCCTGCAATGTACGGTCTTTTGATCGTTTTAATTACTTGGGCAGTTTCAATACTCTTGTTATTTGATTTGGTTTTGGTATTCAATGCCATGTTGATTTGTGCATCATTGTAACCGTTCATTTGCAGCGCTTCTTTAACATGTTGAATTCCACTTCTCCGACTGTCACCATCTGACACTTTCTTTGCCCGATGAATGAGCGTCTTGATAAGAGCAGATTTCTGTGCGGGGTGATGGTGTGACTGCATTGAGATAGGCGTCAGTATGCGTTTTCTTTCAGCAAACACTGTTATATTACCATTTCTTTAATTATATTTACGATATGTTCAGAGTTTTTGATGAACGAAGAGGTCTTACCGATGTAGGGCTTTATTTGTTCCGTTACGTATTGTGCTAATTTGTATGTGGCAGAGCCTATTGTACTAACTATGGCTCTTAATGGGACATCAGGTTTGCGAATTTTTGGTAGCCCATGAAGTCTTGGTTTTTGATCAGGTATTGCTCTTCCTTGGGAATTGATGACTTGGCAATGATTGCCGTTTTTTACGTTCCAAGGTGCTGGTTGGGTCTCGTTTAATTTTAACGTGGGTACCTTCATCGAGTAAATCTTTGATTTTATTATCGTAGTCCTCACGGGGCATCACAACAGTCCATCCGCCCTTATCAGCAGCAAGAATTTAGATGTCTTTACTTGCTCTCAATTCTCTTAAGGCTTTTGCTTCACTGAAGTTAATATTTTTTTTGGCAATTTGCTGTTCTCAATCATTTTGGCAACCTTCGTGCCTATCGTTTCTGTGGACCAGGTTTCCACCGCATTCCCTTGCTTTTGTAATCTCCCTGTAGTTTCCCTGGTGCCCGTCAGTAAAGGAGCTGGATTGTGTGAGTGGGGCCTTTCCTGGCTGTCTGTGGCATTGGCGAATGAATTGTCCTAGTCTGGCTTGCCGGGCCGGGCGCCTTAAAAACCCTAATCCCCATCGAGGTGAATGCTCGTGGCCTAAATGGCTTCTCTCTCTATTGCAATGGCACAGTGGCAAGTGCAGCGTGCTATTAACTCAACGATTTGAGTTAAATTCCCAGCCATCGCCGTGAATTTCCAGCAAGGTAGCGTAGTCAAAACGCTCATGCCCCAGAGCGATAAGTCACTGGGCTTGATTACTGACTCGGGCGCCTTTCTGTGTTGGAGTACCTACAGTAAAAACCTTGAATTGCGAGTAACTTGGTCTGCGAGTGTTTTGCAAGACGAGCAAATTTTTTTAATAAATATTGATTTGGTAAACGAGCAAGGTCTTGCAATACGAGTAGTGTACGTATACACGCTTTGTCTGCCGAGCGTCACGTGATCACAACTGATATACGAGTGCTTTGATATACGAGTGCTTTGGATTACAAACACGTTTCCGGAACGAATTATGCTCGCAATCCAAGGTTTTACTGTATTACGTTCTTCCCCTTTTCTGCATAGGTTTCCTACAAGGTGCTCCGGTTTCCTCCCATAGCTAAAAGAAACACACAGGCAGTATTACCGATGAGTTGGATCGCACACAGCAACATCGCCCCACTATTGCAAAAACGTGTCGGGACTCTCCTAAAAAAGAGTCTTTAGACTCAGTGGGGAGAGGAGGTGGGGAAGAGGGAGTCGTGGACAGGTGAGGTGAGTGTGGCTCCCACTGCCGAGGGGGGTGCTCATTGGAATGATAATGTGAAGGGTTTCTCCTGGACATCTGCTGTTAAGCACTGTGAGGCCTTGTGTGAATGCCACTTATATAAAACTGAGTTTTACTTCAGGAGGGCTCCATTGGCGTCTCTCGGCGCTGATTGTGGCTCGCTTGTGCCTGCAGGGAAAGACATCAACAAAGACCTGAAGCTTTACCTGAACCAGCGCTTCCAGAAGGGCTCGGTGGACCACGACCTGCAGCAGACCATCCGCGACAACCTCTACCTGCGCACCGTGCCCTGTGAGCTTCATCCCCACCACTGTGGATGACCAATTTCTGTGACCATTGTGTGTGTGTGTGTACCCCCACTTCCCCGTGTTTGTGTGAGTGAACCACCCCCCCCCCCCCCGTGTTTGTGATGAGGTGGCTTCGTGTACGGCTCTCAGCCCACGCAGTCGCGCGTCTTTGCTGCCACCGCACACAGTTAGGGAAGGCCCACAGATTGGGCGATTTAAAATAAACGGTGCCCAGCCAACGGAAGGACCCGCCCTTGACTCCGTCCACTCCCTCCACTGCCCTTACAGCACCACAGGCCCTACACCCTCCACCATACCGCTGCCCAGCACCGCTCTCCAATTAACGCATTGCAGATTATCATTAACGTCGTTTGCCTTTAATTTAAAGCCTGCGTTACCACGCTGGCAGCCACCTCGCATGGTTCTTCCATTGAAAACGCAACATGTTGTCGTTTTATTTTGTAGATTTGGATCCGCGAGTTGTCGCATATTCGCAAGTTGCGAAATGCATACTGATTCCCTATTTGCGACCCTCCAGACTCCAGTATTCACTTGTGTACGTAGTGCCAGGCAACCTACACCGGGGAGGTGCGCGCAGAATGTTGTTACATTTTAAACTTTCTGGGAAGATTAGGCACGCTACCCTCGGCTGCCAACTTTGTGCTCGGTCTCGCGGTAATCCCGCTCTGAACTCACATTTTTTATTGAATGTGTATTTGGTTGTTAATTTCTCTCTATCGTGGTTCCCAAGCATCCAGCGAGAGAGGAAAGTGTGTCTTCTGAGAAAAGGTAGATGAAAGTGATGCGCTTGAGTTAAAAGGTAAAACTGTTCGATAAGCTAGATACTGATTTAAAGCTTTCGTGACTGCAAGGATTCATCTTTTTGGGTTCTTTCGGTAAAGTCACGTAGAATGAGAATAAAATAAAATAAAACAATAAAATTCTCACGACGTTTCGGCCACAACACAAGTAGCCGTCCTCAGGTGAAGAAACAGGACTGTCCAGAAGACAGCGCTTGACAGTTCTGTTTCTTCACCTGAGGACGGCTACTTGTGTTGTGGCCGAAACGTCGTGAGAATTTTATTGTTTAATTTTATTATTTTATTCTCATTCTACGTGACTTTACCGAAAGAACCAAAGAAGCTAGATACTGGTGGGAGTCCGTCTGTGGCAGGCCGACATTTTGGTTTAAACGAGTGGACTGTGACGTCCAATAGAAAGGAAAGCGAACGCAATCGGGGAAAGTGTTGCAGCCAGCGCTCCCCAGAGTGCTAAAATTATAACAGTTGTGTATAATTCTAGATTTGAAGCTTTCGTGACTGCAAGTATCCATACTCTTTGGTCCTATTTGGTAAGGTCACGTAGGTAAAAGTAAAAAATAAATGAAAAATAAAACGACAAAAATCACGACGTTTCGGCCACAACACAAGTGGCCTTCATCAGGTGAAGGGACCGGACTTTCCAGAGGACAGCGTTGGAGTGAAGACAGCCAAGCGCAGGTCGCCTCCTTTAAGCTGTGAGGGGGTAAACAGAAAACGCCTTGACAAAGGAATTTGCATAAAATGTACTACTGTGAAAGCTTGGAATTAGCATAAAATGATGTACTACTGTGAAAGTTTGGGATGCCACTACTTGAATAAATATACTGTACCATTGAAAATTAGTTTAATGTTTGGTATGATTTAGAACATCTTTCCAATGATTGCTTTAATTTGAAACCATCCTCTCAGTTGAGTATAATATCAAACACCTGCATCTCCCGAGGAGTCATCCTCCTGAATTCCTCACCACCACCTCCATCATCGGTACATTATCATCATCATCATCATCATTCCCCCCCCCCCCCCCCTATTTTCACTCGTACCAGGAACGTAACCCCATTTTTCCTGTTGAACAAGGTTTCTGCAATCTTGATTTGAAGCTTTCTTGACTGCAGGAATCCATACTGTTTGGGTCTTTCGGTAAAGTGACTTTACCGAAAGACCCAAACATTCAGGTTTCTGCATTCGAGAATTCTGCATTCACGAGCGTTTTAAAGACCATCGTAACCCTCGCCGATAGAGAGTGTCTTTACTGTATTCTCGCAACTGCTGTTCTTGGGACGTGACCAAAACGAGTGGTTTTAAGCTCGTTGTTTGAGTGGAAGAGGGAAAGTCTAGGTAGATAGAAAAAAACATGTACGTGCCAAAAACCCACACCCCCTATTGTGCTTGGTGGCATGATCGGCCACGTCACACTGGACGTGGCTTGTACGGAGTTTCCTGCCTTGGGAAAGCGGGGTGTTGTGATGATCGTGCTGCCGTGGCGATGGTGGCGGTGTGCTGTGCGCAGGTACGACGCGGGAGCCGCGTGACGGGGAGGCCCCGGGTCTCGACTACGACTTCATCTCGGTGCACGAGTTCCGCCAGCTTGAGGCCCAGGGCAGGCTCCTCGAGAGCGGCACCTACGAGGGTGCGCAGGGCCCATGGTCTAACTCGCACACACACACACACACGTGCGCACACATGCTGTGTGTAATTGTGGCCGTGTAATCGTGTGTGTATGTGTCGTGTAGCTGTGTGTTGACTTGTGCACATGTGACCATGTGTACGTGTGGTGTGGCTGTGTGTGGCCTTGTGTACGTGTGGCTGTGTGTACGTGTGGTGTGGCTGTGTGTGGCTGTACGTGTGTGTGTGTCGTGTGTATGTGTCGTGTGGCTGTGTGTAGCCGTGTGTACGTGTGGTGTGGCTGTGTGTGGCTGTGTGTACGTGTGTGTGTGTGTCGTGTGTATGTGTCGTGTGGCTGTGTGTTGACTTGTGCACATGTGACCATGTGTACGTGTGGTGTGGCTGTGTGTGGCCGTGTGTACGTGTGTACGTGTGTGTGTGTGTCGTGTGGCTGTGTGTAGCCCTGTGTACGTGTAACCATGTGTACGTGTGGTGTGGTTTTGTGTGGTCGTATGTACGCGTGCTGTGGCTGTGTGGCACCGTGTGTGACCGTGTGTACGTATGGCCGTGTGACTGTGTGTACGTGTGTACTGCACGCAGGGAACTACTACGGGACACCGATGCCGCCGGAGGAGCCGGGCGTGGACCCCGCCGGGAGCCCCGCAGAGGCCACGTGGAGGCCGGGCTCCCTGACCGCTCGCAGGCGCAGCAAGTCTGTGAGCAACATGGAGCCTGTGGGCACAGGGGCCGCGGGCAGCGCGAGCCCGGGCACCCCGCGCGAGCACCCGCACTCGCCCATCAACAGCAGTGAGACGGCCAGCGTGCTCACAGGTGCTCGCCGCTCCTCACCGCCTGTAGCAGCAGCAAAACCGGCAGTGCGCAAGCAGTAGAGATGTTGTTTGTGGTGGATAGGAATACTGGCGGCGGGGGTAGGTTGTGATTCTTCACAAAAGCTTTGTAATGCCATTGGAAACCTCATTTGCCAGTAACAAAATATGACCAATTATCATATTTTGTTACTGGCAAATGAGGTTTCCAATGGTGTAAATGCTTACCCCGAGCTCTCATACTCTGATGGTGCATTGCCTTTGAGTTGTGCGCCTTTTGGCGTCTTCTGGTCCAACACCATGTGAGACGAGGCTCTAAAGAAAGCTGTCTCGGGTGTGGACCAATCAATTTCAAGGACAGTGCCACACACATTATCAGAGTTGTTGTTTTTTGTTTGCGTTCCGACCGCAGGTATTGTGGTCAATGTAAACATGACTCCTTGTAAAAAAGGCGTCAGTTTTGTTGCCAGATAAAAGGGTAAAAAAACAATGATCAGCTTTGTAATGATTCCATTACGAGTTACGGTGTGTCGAGCCACGTGAGCACTGCCTCGTCTTGTGATCACAGCGCCGAGTCACGTGACCACTAATGCCGCGCCATGTGATCTTCGCGGAGAATCACATGACCACCACGGCCAATTGCGTTTGAGCAGAGAGTTAATGAGTTATTCGACACTGAATATTGCGACACGATAAGAGACTCAATAATAAGGCCTTTCAAACAAAAGCACCCAGCTTCACACGACAGCCGAGTGTCAATTGTCCGAGGCTATGTGGCAGAGGGGTGGCCAAGGTAAAATAAACACGCAGGCAACGCAAACGTTCGGAGAATGCCGGCGATGAAGTCGTGCGCGTGAAGAAGCGTTTACCTCCCGGATGTGGTGTCAACCCTGCGAAGTGCTCCGTCGTGAGGGCACGCTTTGCCGTGTTTTGTTTTGCAGACTCGAGCGAGCACGACGAGCAGCAATCGCAGCCGCAGCCTCCGCACGCGACCCACGCGTGCTATGCGCGGGGCGGCACAGACGAGGAGGAAGAAGAGGAGGAGGAGGAGGAAGGTGACGACGTGAGGAGCAGGAGGAGAGGAGGGGAGCTCGACGAAGGGGCCCTCTTGCCCCCCGCGCACCATGTGAACGCGGGGATGGACGACGACGATGAGGATGACGACAGCCCCATGCCCGACAACTGGGAGAAGACACGGACAGAGGACGGCACGGTCTACTACATCGAGTATGCAGCCTCGAGCATAGCAGGGACTACAGCAGGGGGTACAGCAGGAGTACAGCATAGAATACAGCAGGGGGTACAGCAGGGACTACAGCATAGAGTACAGCAGGGGGTACATCAGGGGGTACAGCAGGGACTACAGCATAGAGTACAGCAGGGGGGGGGGGTACAGCATAGGTTACAGCAGGGAGTACAGCAGGGTCTATATCGTCGATAGCAGCATCTATGGCAGGAACTACAGCAGGCACTATAGTAGGGTCTATTGCAGTGCCTATGACAGGGGGACTATATTAGGGTCCATGTCATTCTCTATAGATGTGGTTCTTAACCTTGGGGTGCACGCACCCAGGGCGTGTGAGATGCCCTTTCTGGGGGTGCGAGACATGCCGTATTTTTTTTACGAGGTGAATCATCGAAACAACAGATTAAGCACGGGCACGTAAGCACAACTACTTTGTCCCATCAAACCCCCTCTGTGTCTTTATTAACGTTATAAATGTTTTTACCATGGAGAACCAAAAGGTTGCAAGGCTGCATTGAAGGCTAAGAACCACTGGTCTATAAGTGACAGTGTGAAGTGGACGCAGGGGAACTCCACGGAGTGTGTGGGTGCGTGTGCGTGCGGGTGTTTGCGTACGTGCGTGTGTTTGCGTACGTGCGTGTGCGCGCCACAGCCACAGCACCAAGACCACCACGTGGCTCGACCCTCGCCTCAAAACCCAGCTCAAGGCCCCCGAGGACTGCACCGAGGATGGTGAGGGCTGCACTCGCAAAGGCAAAGATCCCCCGTGTAGCCTTAACACACTGTTGGGGCAAGTGTTGTTAGACTCGTGCCCATATAGGCTACAACTGAGTGCGAGAGGTGGGTGGCCAGCACCACACCCGGCTTCTTGTCTTCCCGATGCTTATAAATGAAGCAATTGGCGGGACCCCGGGGTCCCATCACTGCCCCCGGGGTGGGAAAAACCGCGTAGCGACACGAGTCTTGTTGCCTTACCGACAACAACAAAACTAGCGTCAATCGATTGGCCTCGTCGAGAGCTACTCGGGGCACTAAGTTTCGTAAAAAGTTGAAAAATTACATAAACACGTTAAATTCACTGCGGGGGCGGCGGGCTCACCTTGGCAAAGAAGCTGAGGATCGACGGCTGACCGGAGGGCGTCGTCGCCGCGCGCCACCGCGGCGACGACGCCCCCCGGGGCTTGCGTTTGGCCGGTGGGGTGGCGCCCATCGTGTTGATCGCCGCCTGCTGGCGTTTGTTGGCGCGAGTCTGGGCGGGCGGCGCGTTGCTGTCGGGGTCACGAGTGGGCGGACTGAAAAAGAATAATAATTGACCTGATTTTTGCGGGACCCCGGGGTCCTGCCAAATGATTCATATGCACATCGCACCTGGTGGTCATCTACAGCTGAGTTAACCTAAGGGAGGCCCAGGAACTGTTTCAGATATCACTTGTCACTGTCTGCTGTGGCTCGGAACCTAACCCAGGTCGCTGGGTTCGTCGTGCAGTGCGATAACTACACCCAAACGAACACAAATCCTCCATATAGCCTCTAACAGGCTGTTTGGGCAATGGATATATATGTTGCACTTTTGCGCGGTACGTAGCCAACCATGCTAATCGGGAAGTGCTCTTCGCGAGCACTACACACACGGATGCCAACAAACACCCTCTTTAACCGCATGAACTATTGGGGAAACCCCTGCTCGTGAGCACCCACTAAGGCTGGCACGACGCATCGCAGGTAGTGACCAACAACGCACTCGTACCTTTGTCTTCCTGGTGCTGACTTTGAAAACCGGCACAAGGTGCTCATTTTAAGCTGGTGTACACCAAAGATGTGCTCTGTCCCATCACGGAGTCCGTTACGCGTTACATGGCCGTGCCAATGGAATTTACATTTGGTCCGGATATTTAATGGGAGGCTGATTGATACCTGGGCACAGTCAAGGGATGGCTTCCTCCTGGTAAATTGTATTGTTTATGCTCGTTGTCGGTGATTGCTGCCCATTCAAATAAGGCATTAAGAAACCCAGGCTGGAGATTGCCACATGCAGGTGTCGAGGAGTATTGTGAGTAACCAATGAGGCGTCGAGCGGAAGGAGGTGCGAGTGGGTTGACTGTCAAGAATGACGTCTTTGTAGGGAGCCAGGGTAATTGGATTGGCTGCAGAGGGTCTCTCTTCCTCCTCGTCGCGGAGCGGTGTTGGCTGAACCCCCCGCTCCGGGCAGACGAGTGAGAAAGCCCATAGGGTAGCCGAGGGTAGGACCCAAATAGTATTCAGTGTCCGGGAGAAAGGACCGGGAGAGAGTGCACGTACACTGGTGTGATCGTAGGATGTCGAGTGTAGCAGTGTGTTAATAAACGGCAACAGCCCTTATAGAATTCCTCGTCTCCGCGTGGTTCTACTGCACTGCACAGGTGAGGCCTTCTCATCAGCACCACAAAACGAAAACCTTTGCTCTCGCTGTCTGGTTGAGTCATGGTGGAGTGGATGTGGAGGGGGGGAATGGAGTTATTGTGGGGAATTGGTAGCAGGGAGCGGTGGCGCAGCGGTTAACTGCTCTACGAACCGAATTCGATTCCTGTGCACGGCCAAGGCCAGTGACTGTTATCTGAACCAGTACTGGACCTCTCCTAGGTCGACTCGGCCTCAATTGATTACAATAATGCCAAGATTTATGTCCCTCCCCTATGCGTCGTTTTGCAAATACGTCGTCACTTAATACCACTAGCTGATTTGCGTTGCCTCAATCCACACTTACATCGCTGACAGCATCGTCCGTCCTTTCTCGTATCTGTCAACGCAGCCTTTGCCTCCACCTACCCTGTAAATAGCTTTTAATTGACCTCATTTCAACATTCGTCCCAACTCTCAGGAATGCATCCCCGACGTAAACCGGGGTATTACTGTACCTGGTGCGATGTGCAAACATCGCCACTAGGTAGATGGTGGCGGTCGGGCGTGGTGCTGGCCCACCCGCCCCCTCGTGTGCCACAGTGCCGGCCTTCATCGGTGCTGCTCGCTAACAGCACTTGCTCCAACAGTCTGTTAAAGGCTATACGGGGGATGGCTTTGCTTGGAGTTATTTTCTCTGGGCAGAGTGCTCACGACCAGCTTAGGTTTTATGATCTGATAATTGCTGCTCACTCTGAGAAGGAGTTGGAGACGCTACTGCTGAACTTGGAGTGTACTATTAAGACATGGGGCCTTACCATTAGCCCCACGTAAACAAAGCACCTTCCTGCGTATTTTGTGCCAATTACCAAATCAATGAGTGATGGACCAGGTAGTTTTGGAGAGAGCGGAGATGTTTCTGGACTTGGGTAGTGTGCTAATGACCAACTCTCTTTTGGCAGCGGAGGTCTCACGTCATATCAGTCGAGCGCATCTTTTCATCAGATGTGTAACGCCTTCTGAAAAATGTCTGCCCTATCGCTCCATACGAAGCTTTGTCTCTTCCCGGCCACAATGAAGCTCCCTCTTCTCTGTGTTTACGAAATGTGGAGCCCTTTATATGAATACCTGCGCCAAATTGAAATATTAATGTGCGCCTACGATTTGTGTTGTGTCCGTGTGTGGCTCAAGAGCTGCCGTACGGTTGGGAGAGGATCGAAGACCCGGAATACGGAGTCTACTACGTTGAGTGAGCCCTGCACCCTCACCACCACCACGACCCTTCTGTCTTAGAATCTGATCACAAAGCAGCAACAGCAGCTGCTGTACCCATGTCACAGGAGTAACACTCGCACCTCGCAGCAAGAAGCCCTTGGGTTTGAACCCCGACTCGAGCACTTTTCTGCGTGGAGGGTGTATATTCTCCCCCACGTCTGTCTATGTTTTCTCCGAATTTTCCGGTATTCTCCTATAACTAAAAACACATACAATGTAACTGGTATTGGCCAAACATCCCAATGTTGAAAATTTATATTTAAATCACGCACCACTGGGGATGCCACTTACGCCCTGGGCCTCACTGACTGTGCCACTGCCACCCCCTCCACAGCCACATCAACAAGTGCACGCAGTACGAGAACCCCGTGACAGAGGCGAAGAAACCTCAACCAGGTATGGAGGGCATCGCAGCACAAGCACACACACATGCACGTGCACAGATATACACGCACATATGCAGAAATGCATGCCTCACCCGTTTAGCCCCCTTTATTCATAAAACAGAAGGTGTTTGGGTATTCGATGGCTGCACATGCAGGCTACGTGACCCAGCAAACGCAGCCTCGCCTGCCGGAGGAGCTTGCTGATGGGATCATGATTAGTTCTTTCAAGGATCTGTGAGCTCCCACAATCCAGCCTGGTTAAACCCAGGATGGATTGTAGGAAGGCCATCCTGAACGTTTCAAACTGGCACAGATGTTCCTTTAAAGGGTTACACGTTTCTTAACTATGGCTGAGAAGACCTAGGGCTTCGTGTGGAGCGATAGGCCAGACAACCGCCACAGCATTATGCAGCTGATGAAGAGATGCCTAACCGGAGTTGGTCATAAGCAGACTGCCCAGGTACAGGAACATCTCCACTTTCTCCACAATTACCCCATCAGTCACGGAGCAAGCGAGGGCTTGCTGTGGCTTGGCACGGGCAGAGGGTTTTGGGGAGATCAGACCGCCTGTCTGCCTACGGCGATTACCCACGTGGCCTCTCCGTGACCTCAGCCTGCGTTCAGACCACGTCTTTTGATCTGAGCAAAACGGGGTCCCTGGGGTTTGCGCCGTTGTCTGATGCCGCAAGTTGCATGAATAGGGGACCGCGTGTGTGGGTCTAGCCCAACTAATGGAGCCGGAGGGGGCTCCATGTCATCAGATGCCGACTTGCAATACTGACCAGGATTCACTCAGCTCCATGATTGGCGTCGGTCATTAGGGCAAATACTGGTGGCACAGTGGTTTGCACACTGCTTGATCATCCAGGTGACCCAATTTCAATTCCTGGCCAAGCCTAACATCAGTGGCAGTTATCTCACCCAGTTATCTAAAATGGGTACCTTGTGCATTGTGTAAACATCAGCATTGGGGAGACAATGGCAGACGCACATGGTGCTGGCCACCCACGTCCTTGTGTGCCGTGCCGGCCTTCATAGGTGCTCACGAAAAACACATGCCCCCCCCCCGACAGTCTGTTCAGGCTACACGGGGGGGATCTTTGTCTTTATACGTGCGTGTATGTATGAGTGCGCGTGTGCCACCGCGTGCCACCGTGTGCCACCGTGTGCCACCGTGTGCGCGCTCGCAGCAGGGAAGCCGTTCTTTACGCGCGACCCCACGGAGCTGCGCGGCTCCTCGCTGAGCTCGCGACTGCAGAAAAGTCAACGCGGCTTCGGCTTCACCATCGTGGGTGGCGACGAGCCCGAGGAGTTCCTGCAGATCAAGAGCCTCATCCCGGGCGGCCCCGCCGCCGCGGAGGGCCTCATGGAGACCGGTGCGTGTGTCTGTGCGTGCGTGTGCGCGCGTCCGTGCGTGCGTGCATCGTGTCCTTGTGTGTGCGTGTACAGCCTGTCTGTGGGCGCGTCTGTGCATGCATCTCTGTGTGTGCACGTCTGTATGTGTGCGTACGGCCTGTCTGCTTATTCTTGTGCGTGCGTATCTGTGTGTGCGCATGTGTGAGCTGCCTCGTGTGTGTTCTTTCATGCTATGTGTGTGTGTGTATATGTTTGACCTGAGGGTGGAGTCCTTAAAACACTTCCCTATTAACCCGGCAACCCGAGTTCAGTTTCGGCTCGCATCCGTGACGAATATCTGAATTGCTTCTTGGCCTCCCTTAGGTTGACTCGGCCATAAATGAGTACTGGGTGGGGCATGTAAACATCAATACTGGGTAGACAAAGACGACCGGGCATGGTGCTGGCCACACACTCCCTCGTGTACCGTGCCATCCTCCCTCAATAGGTGCTCTCTAACAGCACTTCTCCCACCAGTCTGTTAAAGGCTACAAGGGGGATTCTTGATTTGAAGTTTTCGTGACTGCAAGGATCCATACTCTTTGGTTCTTTCGGTAAAGTCACATAGGGGAAAAAAAATAATATGGAATAAATTTGAAATAAATAAATCACGATGTTTCGATTGCAACACAAGCAATCATCATCAGGTGTGACAACCACAGCAAGGATTTTTTTTTACTGAAGTGGGTTAGAGACCAGGGTTAGGGCAGTTAACTAAGTCAGAGTCGGAGAGACGCTTGCAGTGTGCGCACTCACCCCCCTCCTACCCTCCCCCTCTCTGACTTATTTAACTGCCCTAACCCTGGTCTCTCTCCCACTTCAGTAAACATTTCCTTGCTGTGGTTGTCACACCTGATGATGATTGCTTGTGTTGCGATCGAAACGTCGTGACTTATTTATTTCTATTTTTTTATTTTACATGTATGTTTTTCACCTGCGTGACTTTGCCGAAAGAGCCAAAGGGTGTGCAAGGGGGATCTTTGTCTTTGTGTGTGCGCGCTGCCTTGCATCTTTGTGCGTGTTTATTCATCTTGTCTGTGTGCATGTGACGGAGTACGTATGGATGTTCCTGTGCGTGGGGAGCTAAAGCACATGTGCGATGGTGGCATAGTAGGGAGCACAGGTGGTGGTACATCTGCCAGTCATCTCAATCGGTCGACCCATGGCACCCGAGTCCGTCCCGCGAACCTCCTGCCGGCAGCAAGAAGCCTTCCAAACTTAATGCGCTGGCCTCAAAGTAGACCTAGCCTGGCACAAACACCGTTGTGACAAGCAGACAACATATTTGTAAGTGTAAAATACACTTTTATCTTTATTACAATTGTATTGTTTATGTAGAGGGACAGCTTTATGAAGGAGAGATTTCGCTTATTTATTTTGTTCACTATATATGACTTGTATGGGATACCCTACTATTGTTGTTGTTCCGCCGGTTGCTGACGCCTCTCCAGGAGACGTGATTGTGCGGGTGAACGACACGTGTGTGCTGGGGCACACGCACGCCCAGGTGGTCGAGATCTTCAAGTCGATCCCGATCGGGCAGCACATCGACCTGGAGCTGTGCCGCGGCTACCCGCTGCCCTTCGACCCCGACGACCCCAACACGCACCTCGTCAAGTCGGTGGCCATCACGGATGAGCCGGTGTTCGTGAACGGCGGGCGCACGATGAGCTTGCGCAGCGCGCGCTCCTACGTGCCGGCGCCCGAGTACCGTGGCGGCACGCGGCCCGGCAAGATGAACCTGCCGCAGGTGAGTGGGGTCACAGCGTGGGGTTGGCACGCGTCCGTTGCCCCGGTGCTCGCGACCCATCATGGCAGACGCCGTCCCGCGGAACCAGCCGCCTTCTGCAGAGGAAGTCGACATTTGAGGGTCAATGATTAACCCCCCTGATTGGGCTTAAATATCGAGGTGACGACCCAAAGCGCTTCACAGCGCAAACGAGGAAACGCAACTCGAGAGGATTTACAGCGGAGAATTTGGAGAGGGATAACGAACCAAGAGAGAGCATCACGTTGAGGACCGCTTTGTCCTGGTGTTACAACTGTAGTGGGTTCAATTGAGGCGCACACTCAACTTGGAGGCAACGCTATTTATTAACACATAACAACCAACGTGAACATTATATACAGGGTGGTGACCACCGTTCCTAACCTCACTAACACTCGGGGAATACTGCACAGCGTGACCAGGGCAGGTGATGGGCTGCCTGGTCACGAACGACGATCGGAGACTCGAGGACCGCTGATGGCGTCTTCATCCCAGGGTTGAACAGCCCAGCTCTCTGTTCACACCCGCCTGCTTATAACTCGCGTGGAGTGGCCGGCTCCGCCCCAGGCCACGCCCCCCTTCTCGATCCTGCGAGAAGGTCCGGGCCCCCAACCACGTGACCCCCCAAGCTCCCCCCTGTGGCCCCTAGCCCCCCCCCCCCCCCCTTTGTCCGGTCACGTGTCCTGTTGGGTTCACGCAGAGTGTCACGGCCTGACACGACCCCCGTGACACCCCCGCCTACGGCACCCATACCGAGCCGACACAGTAGTGACGTCATGTGTCCCTACGCTCGTACAGTCCCGACACAGTAGTGACGTCACATGTCCCTACGCTCGTACAGTCCCGACACGGGAGTGACGTCACATGTCCCTACGCTCGTACAGTCCCGACACGGGAGTGACGTCACATGTCACGACACAATGAACACGCGCGCGCAAACACACACACGAGATGCAGCGACCATCAGAGTCCAGGGGAGTCCAATAACGAGACGGGATACACAGGTGTAGGTCGATCCACGGTCGACTGCACCAATCCTCAGAGCTGTTCACCCTCACCCTGTCCGCCCACACCATCTCATAGGCAAGCAGCCCGAGAGAGCAGCACAATGCTGTCTGTTAGCGACAGATGCCAATGGTGACAACTTGTAGATACTGTACGCTCTTCCCTCTCCGCCACTGTGGTTGAGTGATTGCAGTCAGGTGATTAGTCGCTCCTTATCGCTCCGCTTTCCCTTCTACCATGGGTATTGTATATCCACGAACTTTCCTCATTGAGTTCTCCGCCCAGCAGACTGTTTCCATCTCACCCACGCCGCGTTCAGCCACCACGCAGCAGGTCACAACATCACGCTCGCCCACCCATTCACCCACCCACGCACCACACTTCAGGCCACAGCACTGCTATATCTGCGACGGGATTCTCTCCCCCTCGAAGTAACCTTGCTCAGCTCGAACACGTCACGCTGTCATCCATTACAACTTAGTGCTGTATCATGGGGTCTGTTTTGCCAGTAGCAAAGTATGAAAAATAAGAATATGTTTTACCCTTTCTGGCAATAAAATAAAACAGGGGTTAAGATTTTAATTTAAAGCTTTCGTGACTACAGGGATTCATATTCTTGGTTCTTTCGGTAAAGTCACCACGTAGAAGGGAAACAATGAAATAATAAAAATATCAAACAATATATAGGTGTTAAGATGTTCAAACACCAAATAGGTACCTTTTGCAAGGAATATTTACTCATTGCCTTTGAAACTACTGTGCGCCTTTTGACGGTCTATGGTCTAACATTGGTGAGACTAAGCTATGTTGAAAGCTGTCTCTGGCGTAGGCCAATCAGTTTCTCCTTCAGGCGAGCGAGCGCACGGCTGCCAGCATGCCGCACAGTGTCGTCCCGATTAATTATCTCCACTCCGCCAACTCTGCGGATTCCTTTTCGCCAGCCCTGGGCCCCCCCGCGCCCTTCGTAGACGCTCAGCGAGCGTGTGTGCCGACAGGACAAGGCGCTGGCGATCACGTCGCAGCCCGAGCTCATCACCGTGCACGTGGCCAAGGGCGCGAGCGGCTTCGGGTTCTCGATCGCGGACGGGCCGAGTGGACAGCGCGTGCGGCAGGTTATGGACGCCCAGCGCTGCCGGGGCCTCAAAGAGGGCGACCTCCTGCTCGAGATCAACCGCGAGGGACTGCACGGGGCCAAGCACGCGCAGGTCGTGCAGAGGCTCAAGGAGTTCAACGTTGGCAGCACCGTGACCTTCCTGATCGAGCGCGGGGGTGAGCACAGGGCCCTGCCGGGCTTCACAGTCGCTCTGCGCTGTGTCTCTGTGTGCCGTGTCTCGGCGTGCTGTGTCTCTCCGTGCTGTGTCTCCCTGTATGCTATGTCTCGGCGTGCTGTGTCTCTGCACTGTGTCTCTCTGTGCCGTGTCTCACTGCGCTGTGTCTCGGCGCTGTGTCTCTCTGCGCTGTCTCTGTGCTGTGTCTCCCTGTATGCTATGTCTCGGCGTGCTGTGTCTCACTGTGCTGTGTCTCACTGTGCTGTGTCTCTTTGCTGTGTCTCTGCGCTGTCTCTCTACGCTGTGTCTCTGTGTGCCATGTCTCGGCGTGCTATGTCTCGGCGTCCTGTGTCTCACTGCGCTGTGTCTCTGTGTGCCGTGTCTTGGCGTGCTGTGTCTCACTGCGCTGTCTCACTGTGTTGTGTCTCTGCGCTGTGTCTCTCTGCGCTGTCTCTCTACGTTGTCTCTCTGCGCTGTCTCTCTGCGCTGTGTCTCTACGCTGTATCTCTCTGCGCTGTCTTTCTCTACGCTGTGTCTCTACGCTGTGTCTATCTGTGCTGTGTCACCCTCCACAGCCTATCAATGCAACCGCATCATCACACCCGTTGGCATCATGGCTGGCCAGAGACGCATTTGATAATCGTGCGACCAGCAGCACGCCTGGCTGTGTCTAACCTGCGTTGACAGTTACACACTTCACTGCCTCCTCTAGGTTGGCTGTGCCTTAAATGTGCATCTAGTGGAGCGTGTTGACATTAACGCAGCCAGGCATAGCACGGATCCCACTGTGGGTTCGTGTCACCCCAGCTTAACGCCTACTTGTGAACATCGCACAGATAAACCCCACACACACAAACACCACACACACAAACACCACACACACAAACACCGCACACACAAACACCACACACACACCGCACACACAAACACCACACACACAAACACCACACACACACCACACACACACCACACACACAAACACCACACACACACCGCACACACACACACCACACACACAAACACCACACACAAACACCACACACAAACACCACACACACCGCACACACACCGCACACACACAAACACCACACACACACACCACACACACAAACACCACACACAAACACCACACACACCGCACACACACCGCACACACACAAACACCACAAACACCACACACAAACACCACACACACCACACACACACCACACACACAAACACCACACACACAAACACCGCACACACACACACACACAAACACCACACACACACACCACACACACAAACACCACACACACACACCACACACACAAACACCGCACACACACACACACAAACACCACACACACAAACACCACACACACAAACACCACACACACAAACACCGCACACACACACACACAAACACCACACACACAAACACCACACACACAAACACCACACACACACAAACACCGCACACACACACACACAAACACCACACACACACACACACCACACACACAAACACCACACACACACACACCACACACACAAACACCGCACACACACACACCGCACACACAAACACCACACACACAAAAAACACACACACAAGAACCACAAACACCACACACAAACACCACACACACAAACATCCCACACACAAACACCACACATACAAAAACCACACACACAAGAACCACAAACACCACACACACACACAAACACCACACACACACAAACACCACACACACACAAACACCACACACACACAAACACCACACACACACAAACACCACGCACAAACACCACACACACACAAACACCACACACACACAAACACCACACACACAAACACCACAAACACCACACACATAGCAGCAGGCTCGGTGCAGGGTACTCTCTCGTCTTGGGAATACAATGATTCCCACCCCCCCCCCCCCCCCCCCCCCGGGCCAATAGAAATTCAATGACTCACCCCGATACGATTCCACAATGTTGTTTGTACCGATTTGGCAATACTCTGAGCCTAAAGGCACGAGGCACGTTACCCTATAACTGGTATCGATCATAACCAATTATGAATTTAATTCATGATTTGATGAAGTTAGACATTTTATTTGGGTCACGTGTCAAGTTTTGTTGTGTTTCACCAAGGCGAGTACTCAAGTAACCAGGATTTGAGTCTTAATTTGCAAGAGTGACCTTGGTCAGCAAAATGACAAAGAGAGAAAAGCAAGTAACATTTAACAAAGTACAGCAATGAAGTAAACAGCGATGAGCACACGTGGATGATCGATGCGTACCCGACTGCGCTTTATGCTGGTGTGCCTCGCTGTCTTTTGGGTAGCAGCAACGGGAAAATAATTTTAGTCTCAACTATGCACCCCGTTTTAATTTTACATCGGCTGTGCGCGCGCGTACACGTGTTGCCTCGTGCTGTCTGCTGAGCGTGTGAATTGCGCGCCCTGTGGTGAAGGCTGTGGTGCGTTCTTGTTTCCAGGATCCTACCCTCAGAAGAGTCCCAAGCCGGTGAGTAGCCGATGCCTATGCACGTTTCATGGAGAGGTGCGAGATAATCGCGTGGCACTGCTGGGTGGTAGCGCTCTCCCCGTTCCCATCGTCCATGATGCCAAGCCTCCACGCTCACTTCCTTGGCGTGCGCGCTGCCCGTGGCGGTTGCCATCGGCACCGGGCCCTTGGCCTCCCCTAAGCAGACTCGGCTTTGGTAAGAGCCGGCGCTCGCTGGGACAGTGTTCCCTGCGTAGCACGCGGCACGTGCTGCTACGCAGGGACTGGTCACGCATCCCCTCGTGTGCAGTTCAGGCCTTCGTAAGTGTTCGTGAACAGCACTTGCCTCAACAGACTGTTAAGGCTCTATGGGGAGATGTCTTTGTTGTGTGTGTCGGGTATGAGTGTCTATATTTGTAGTAAGTGTTTGTGTTTTTGCGTGTATTTTTGGTGTATGTGTATGTATGTGTGATTTAGTGGGGAGCGATAGTGTAGCGGTTAGCGCGCTGCGCTATGAACCTGGCGACCCGGGTTCGATTCCCGCTCACGGCCAACAGCAGTGACGATTATCTGAACCGATCCCGGGCCTTCCCTAGGTCGACTCAGCCTCAAATGAGTACCTGGTGCGGTGTGTAAACATCGCCACTAGGGAGACAAAGGCGGTCGGGCGTGGTGCTGGCCACCCACCCCTTCGTGTACCGTTCCGGCCTTCATAGGTGCTCACTAACAGCACTTGCTCCTACAGTCTGTTAAGGCTATATGGGGGATCTTTGGCTTTGTTTTAATGCCCAGTGGAGTGGTGACAGTGGTTAGTGAACTACAAATCTGTTGGTAGGGGTGCGATTCCCAGCTCAGTAACACCACTTTCCCGAACAGCCTGTGTACGCCATATGGAGATTTTTGGCTTTGTGTGTGTGGTGTGTATATACAGGGTGTTTAAAATAGATGGACCCAATTTCAAAGCAGTCTATTTCACGATGGCGACATGTTACGATTACACAAAAAGTTACAAGCGGTTCAATGAGTTATCAAGTTTTACTAACCATTTTATAAATGCTCTGTGCCCTCCATCTGCTGTACGGACAACATCGAGACGATAGTTGAATTCGTCCCAAACGCCCCTCAAAGTGTCTTCTTACACTGAAGTCACCGCTGCCGTGATTCTGTTTTTGAGGTCATCAAGATTAGTCGCTAATGGTGCCACAAAAACACCACGGGTCTTTGACGTGTCCCCACAAGACAAACTTGCAGGGTGTGGTGATGTCTGGGGATCTTGGGGGCCAAGAGTGTAGCGCCAAGTCTTGGGGTCCCGTGCGACCTATCCAACGTTGAGGCAGTATGACCTTGTGAATGACCGAGGCTAGGGGCTGTTTGTGCGCTGGGAGAGGCATCTCGCGGTAATCTTTTGAAACTCTATGCCCCGCCCTCTCCATGCCCCGCCCTCTCCATGACCCCGCCCTTTCAAGTGGTAAGAGTTTCATTCATGGGCGGTTCGTGGTTGCAGAGCTATAGCGATTTCAAATCGGGTCCATCTTTTTCAAACACCCTGTATATCATTATTGTGTTTCTGTGTGTGTGGGAAGCGGTAGTGTGGCGTTAGCACGCTGCACTACAAACCCAGCAACCCGAGATCGATTCCTGCTCACGCCCAACACCAATGACGATTACCTGAATGGATCCTAGGCTTTCTCCTAGGTGTGTAAACATGGCCACTGGGGAGACAAAGGCGGTCGGGCGTGGTGCTGGCCATCCACCCCCTCGTGTGCTGTTCCGGCCTTAATAGGTGCTCGCTAACACGGTATATTTTTCTTTGTACGTGTATTTGTGTATGCGTATCCATGTGTGTCTGTGTGTATCCGTGTGTGTGTCCACGTGTTTATACCTACGCGTATGTGTGTGTGTGTCTCAGGGCCCGAGGCGGCAGGCTGTGCCTCAGTCGAGTCAGCTCTCGGATGTGCTGCTCCCATTGCTTGTGAACCAGGGAATGACACGTGGCGGCGGTGGCGGTGGCCGCTCCGGCTCCCCCACTCCCTCCAGCAGCCCCGACAGCCGGCACCCGGACGCATACCGCCTGTACCGCGAGTCTCGCTCTATCTTCGACAGCAAGGGTCAGTGTTCCCTGGCCGACGGCACCGCCCCCGTCGGACGTACGAGCCGTCTTGGCACCGGCTCCGAGTGCGCCGATTGCTCCCCGACGGACGTCAGTGCTTCGGGGATTTTAAACCGTCACTATGGTTGTTGTAGAATCATCCCGCCTCATCGACGGCCGTGCTCTCGCGTTGGCCCGTTTGGTGCTAAACGTTGGACGGTGACGTCTTGTGTGGGAGCCGTGAGCATACCGTGGAATGTTTATCTCGTGTGTTTTGGGTACCGTGTTGTACACAGCAAGAGGGGTCTTCAGTTCCACTAGAAGTCACTTTGCGATGGCCAAAGAAACAGTCCCAGTCACAGACTGGCCTACCACTAGACAACACCGGAGCGCGCTGGCAGCCCACCTGCCGACACACGCCATGTGCTGTCGGTGAAGTGGCTCGCTTGCTGACCCACGTGTGACCCTTCCTCTCAGTGGAATTGTAGGCGTTGCACCTCTCCATCCTGCGCACACCTGACTGCGGACGTGAAGTTCGCGTCTCCAGGGCTCCCATCTCTCGGGGTGGTTGGGGCACTGCCCCGAGCGGGCAGGCGGGGCATTCGGGCGTTGGGCCGAGGTTCAGCATGCACCCGGCTGCCTCACACGTGTGCCGCGTGTCTCCCCCACAGCGGCGTCCGACTACAGGGAGATGGACATCCTGTTGCGGCGGCACGAGAGCGGCTTCGGCTTCCGCATCCTCGGGGGGAACGAGCCTGGAGAACCCGTGGGTGGCACGGCACTGGCACTACCATTGGCACTGGTGCCATCACTGGCAGCGTACTGCCACTAACGCAGCCTGACGCATTGACACTGCGTAGTTAGCTTTGCAAGCAAATTGGGTGTGGTGCTTTTTAACCCACTCTCATGTAAATCATATCTGGTTCATCTGCACACTGTTGCCCACACCAGGCCCCGCATTTTAACAGAGCGGCCACGAAAATGCTGGGATGTGCGTTTGTCGTGCGACGCGACTGGTCACTCGTGATGCCGGTCGCGGCGATCGGTCTCCCGAGCACGGATAAATTGCTTCTGGTTCGAGACGCCGCCACCCGGTTCCTCTACGGGGGAAGGGAACTGTGAGCGCATCGCTCCTCCTGTGGGAACATCGCGTGGAGCGGTGCGACGGCAAAAGCAGAACGGGAATTGTTGTGACCTGCAGTGTGGCGAGTGTGGGTGGGACAGTGGGAGAGTGAGAGTGTTGTAGCTGATGTGTGTGGGGAGCGGCACGTGAAGTGGGGAGTGCGTGTGAGTACCTGTGTATGTATGCTTATGGATGTGTGTGGATATGTAGTGAGTTCAACTGAGTCGCAGACGTTCTCTTTGGAGACGACACATTTATTGATACCAACACGCGGGGTAACTGCCCCTTAACCAGATAACAACCTAGGGTGGTGGACCACCAGGCTAACTACACTAATTACACCATAACTAACTACATGACCACCAGGCTAACTACACTAACTACTGCCGTAACTAACTACGTGACCACCAGGTTAACAACACTAATTACACCATAACTAGCTAGGTAACCACCAGGCTAACTACACTAATTACACTGTAACTAGCTATGTGATCACCAGGCTAACTACACTAATTACACCGTAACTAGCTACGTGACCACCAGGATAACTGCACTAATTACACCGTAACTAGCTACATGACCACCAGGCTAACTACACTAATTACACCATAACTAGCTACATGACCTTCAGGCTAACTACACTAATTACACCGTAACTAGCTACATGACCACCAGGCTAATTACACTAATTACACCGCATCTAGCTGAATGACCACCAGGCTAACTACACTAATTACACCTTAACTAGCTACATGACCACCAGGCTAACTACACTAATTACATCGTAACTAGCTACGTGACCACCAGGCTAACTACACTAAATACACCGTAACTAGCTACGTAGCCACCAGGCTAACTACACTAATTACACCGTAACTAGCTACGGACCACCAGGCTAACTACACTAAATACACCGTAACTAGCTAGATGACCACCAGGTAACTACACTAGTTACACCGTAACTAGCTACGTGACCACTAGGCTAACTACACTAACTACACCGTAACTAGCTAAGTGACCAGGCTAACTACACTAATTACACCGTAACTAGCTACGTGACCACCAGGCTAACTACACTAATTACACCGTAACTAGCTACGTGACAACCAGGCTAACTACACTAATTACACCGTAGCTAGCTACGTAGCCACCAGGCTAACTACACTAATGACACCGTAACTAGCTACATGACCACCAGGCTAACTACACTAGTTACACCGTAACTAGCTATGTGACCACCATGCTAACTACACTAATTAGACCGTAACTAGCTACGTGACCACTAGGCTAACTACACTAATCACACCGTAACTAGCTACAAGACCACCAGGCTAACTACACTAGTTACACCGTAACTAGCTATGTGACCACTAGGCTAACTACACTAATCACACCGTAACTAGCTACATGACCACCAGGCTAACTACACTAATTACACCGTAACTAGCTACGTGACCACCAGGCTAACTACACTAATTACACCGTAACTAGCTACGTGACCACCAGGCTAACTACACTAATTACACCGTAACTAGCTACATGGCCACCAGGCTAACTACACTAATTACACTGTAACTAGCTACGTGACCACCAGGCTAACCACACTAATTACACCGTAACTAGCTACGTGACTGCCATGCTAACTACACTAATTACACCGTAACTAGCTACGTGACCACCAGGCTAACTACACTAATTACACTGTAACTAGCCACGTGACCACCAGGCTAACTACACTAATTACACCGTAACTAGCTACATGACCACCAGGCTAACTACACTAATTACACCGTAACTAGCTACATGACCACCAGGCTAACTACACTAGTTACACCTTAACTAGCTACATGACCACCAGGCTAACTACACTAATTACACAGGGAGTAGCTACAGCGGACAGTACCTAGTTCGGGTCCACGTGTTTGATAGTCTGTAGAACGTAGAACGAAGATTTCTTCAGGATGAACAACAGCAGCTGGTCCCTCTCGGGGACTCTGCTTATATCCTCACTGGTCGTGGCTGGTTCCGCCCTTAGCCACGACCACCTTCTAGAACCCTCGAGCAGCATCTCGACCCTGACACGTGACCACTCCTAGCCCCCACCTGGGCGCCCTGTGTAGACTTCACCGGTCACATGTCCTTCGGGGTTAACCAGAGTGCCATGGCCCTTTGTAACCCCATTCCCATGGCCGGCACTCTCACACCCTACCCTGTAGGGGTCGGCACTGCACGCAGAGTGTGGTGCCATCCAGCACTGCCAGTCAGCGCTCACCGAGCCCCTCATCCACATGGTGCCCGCGATGTCGCTACATCGCACGCCGTGCCTCTCTAGAGCCGGCATCACACAGTGACATCCGCGATGTCACTACACACATATATATATATGTGTGTGAGTGTGGGGAGCGGTAGTGTTGTGGTTATTGTGCTGCGCTACGAACCCGGCAATCGTGAGTTCGATTCTGCCTCTTGGCCAACACCAGTGACGATTATCTGCAGCGGTCCTGGGCCTTCGCCAGGTCGACTCGGCCTCAAATGAGGACCTGGTGCGATGTGTAAACATCGCATGTAGCTGGTCGTGGTGCTGGCCACCCACCCTTGTCGTGTGCCATGCCAACCTTCATAGGTGCTCCATAACAGCACTTTCCCTCAGTCTGTGAAGGCTGTGCATGGGTGATCTTTGCCTTTGAGTGCGAGCGAGGTTGTTGTTGTTGTTGTTGTGACTTGGGGGGTGTAGTGAGTGGGTGAGTGAAGATGTTGTTGTTGTGACCGTTGGTGATGGCGCGCATCAGATTGTGATCGGCTCGATCGTGCCCCTGGGCTCGGCGGACGCGGATGGGCGCCTGCGCACGGGGGACGAGCTGGTGAGCGTGGACGGTGTCGCCGTGCTGGGCCAGTCCCACACGCACGTCCTGGGCCTCATGCAGCAGGCGGCCAAGAAGGGCGACGTCAGCCTCACCGTGCGGCGCCGGGGCTCGCCCGCAGGTAGCACCGCACCCTCGTGGGGCGCTCGGGGCTCACGGTTGCGCGTGTGAGAGCGCAAGCTTGTAGGTGTGTGTGTAGGTGTGTGTGTGTGTGAGTGTGTGTGTGTAGGTGTGTGTGTGTAGGTGTGTGTGTGTAGGTGTGTGTGTGTGTGTGAGAGTGTGTAGGTGTGTGTGTAGGTGTGTGTGTAGGTGTGTGTGTAGGTGTGTGTGTGTAGGTGTGTGTGTGTGAGTGTGTGTGTGTAGGTGTGTGTAGGTGTGTATCCTATATAGACCTACATCTCTGCTTTATTGACCTGGTCAAGGCCTATGATACCATCAGTAGGCCTGGGCTCTGGGTCGTTCTTCGTGCTTTTGGAGTACCTGACCCTCTGCTCACGATCATTAAGGACCTTCATGATGGTGAGCGGGCCCGGGTAAAACTACGTGGCCGGGAGTCAGAGCCATTCCCTGTACACCTTGGGGTGCGACAGGGATGTCCTCTGGCTCCCACATTATTTAACATCTATTTTGACCACGTAGTTCGTGAAGCCTTCAATAGCTGTACCGGGGGAATCTCCATATGGTACAGATATAATGGGAGGCTAATCGATGCCCGGGTGCGGTCAAGGGATGGCTCCCTATTGCTCAACCACGTTATGTATGCTGATGACTTGGTAATAGCTGCTCAGTCAGAGGAGGAGTTGGAGACGCTGCTGCTGAGACTGGAGCGTGCCACTAAGAGGTGGGGCCTTACCATCAGCCCCACCAAAACTAAGCACCTGCCTGGGTATTTTGTACCATCGGACACTCCACCCCCACAACTCCCAATCGGTGATGGGGCAGTTGTGGAGAGAGTGGAGAGTTTCCCATACCTGGGCAGTGTGCTTATGACTGGCTCCAGTTTAACAGCAGAGGTCTCACTCCGAATCAGTCGAGCGGCAATATCTTTTCATCGGTTGCGTAACGCTGTGTGGAAGCTACCTGGTCTGTCGCTCCGCACTAAGCTTCAGGTCTTCTCGGCCACGGTCATTCCCTCCCTTCTCTACGCTTGCGAAACGTGGACCCCCCTAATGGAACATCTTCGCCGGTTAGAAACATTTAGGCTGACCTGCCTACGATCCATCCTGGGTTTAACCAGACTGGATTGTGTGAGGAGCTCACAAATCCTTGAAAGATCTGGGCAGGGTCCCATCGGTGAGCTCCTCCGGCAGGCAAGGCTGCGATGGCTGGGTCATGTAGCCCGCATGCCCAGCCACCGCATGCCGAAACAGCTTTTGTTTGGCCGGATTGAGGGGGCTAAGCGGGCGCGGCACGGGCTAGAGAAGAGATGGAGTGATGTGGTACAGGAGGACGTGGAGCTGAGTGGACTTGCCGATGACTGGTACCAGCGGTGTCAAGATCGGCCTCTGTGGAAGAGGCTCGTGAAGGATGCTACTGGGCAGTTGGAGGCAGTCGCCCTCCAACAACAACGGAGGGCGGAGGAGCGACGCTCACAACAGCGAGCGGAGCGCTGGGTGGCTAAAGCACAGCAGGTTGGCACAGTAGGGGGCACAGGTGGTGCATCAGCCAGTCATCTCAGTCAGTCGACCCGTGGCACCTGGGTCTGCCCCGTGACCTCCTGCCAGCGGGCGTTCGACACTTCACGTGGCCTCAGGGTGCACATAGCCTGGCACAAGCGTCGTGGTGACGTCACCGCCACTTAGTGGCGAATGGCGGTTGTTGTTGTTGTTGTAGGTGTGTATGAGTGTGTGTGTAGGTGTGTGTAGGTGTGTATGAGTGTGTGTGTAGGTGTGTATGAGTGTGTGTATAGGTGTGCATGAGTGTATGTAGGTGTGTGTGTGTGAGTGTATGTGTGAGTGTGTGTGTGTAGGTGTGTGTGTAGGTGTGTAGGTGTGTGTGTGTGTAGGTGTGAGTGTGTAGGTGTGTGTGTAGGTGTGTAGGTGTGTGTAGGTGTGAGTGTGTAGGTGTGTGTGTGTGTGTGTGGCGAGCGGTGGCGAAGTGGTTAGCGTGCTGCGCTATGAACCCAGCATTCCGAGTTCGATTGTGGCCATGGGCCTAACACCAGTGACGATTATCTGAACCGGTCCTGGGTCTCCCCTAGGTCGACTCGGCCTCAAATGAGTACCTGGAGCGGTGCATAAACATTGCCATTTGGGAGACAAAGGCGGTCGGGCGTGGTGCTGGCCACCCCCCCCCCCTCGTGTACCGTTCCGGCCTGCATAGGTGTTCGCTTACAGCACTTGCCCCACAAGTCTGTTAAGGCTATATGGGGGAACTTTGCCTTTGTGTGTGAAACCGTAGGTGAGTGTGTGAGGATTTTAACCCCCCATCCCAAGCGGCGAGGAGTGGCCGGAGTGATTCGACAATGAATCGGGTTTCAACTAATTTAGTTTCATTGCAATTTTGCCGAATTGGGCTAAACCTCGACTGCAATTGGGTGCCAGAGTCAGGTGGACCCCTAACCTCTGACCCCCGTGCCACCACAACAGAGGGAGAGCAGTGGCAGGGGCACGACTCGTCGAAGCTGCTGCACGGGGAGGGGTTCCCGGGTGGCCAGCCGGGGTCGGGGAGCGCACGCGCCCCGTTCGGCGGGGACGGGGCCTACACGGGCGGCACGCGTGACGTCCTCCTGCACCGCGGGGACAACGAGGGCTTCGGATTTGTGCTCATCTCAGCGCTGCCTTTCCCAGAGAGCAACGGCACTCACGGGGGTACGGGCTGCACCCACGCTCATGAACCACAGCACATACACCACACTCACCACACACACCACACACAGCATATACACCACACTCACCACACACAGCATATACACCACACTCACCACACACAGCATATACCCCACACTCACCACCCACACCATATACACCACACTCACCACACACAGCATATACACCACACTCACCACACACAGCATATACACCACACTCACCACCCACACCATATACACCACACTCACCACCCACACCACACTCACCACACACAGCATATACACCACACTCACCACACACAGCATATACACCACACTCACCACACACACCATATACACCACAGTCACCACCCACACCATATACACCACACTCACCACCCACAGCATATACACCACACTTACCACCCCCACCATATACACCACACTCACCACACACAGCATATACACCACACTCACCACCAACACCATATACACCACACTCACCACCCACACCATATACACCACACTCACCACCCACAGCATATACACCACACTCACCACCCACACCATATACACCACACTCACCACCCACAGCATATACACCACACTCACCACCCACAGCATATACACCACACTCACCACCCACACCATATACACCACAGTCACCACCCACAGCATATACACCACACTCACCACCCACAGCATATACACCACACTCACCACCCACACCATATACACCACACTCACCACCCACACCATATACACCACACTCACCACCCACACCATATACACCACACTCACCACCCACAGCATATACACCACACTCACCACCCACACCATATACACCACACTCACCACACACAGCATATACACCACACTCACCACCCACAGCATAAACAACACACTCACCACCCACAGCACATATGCCACACTCACCACCCACACCATATACACCACACTTACCACCCACAGCATATACACCACACTCACCACCAACACCATATACACCACACTCACCACCCACACCATATACACCACACTCACCACACACACCATATACACCACACTCACCACACACAGCATATACACCACACTCACCACACACAGCATATACACCACACTCACCACCCACACCATATACACCACACTCACCACCCACACCATATACACCACACTCACCACCCACACCATATACACCACACTCACCACCCACAGCATATACACCACACTCACCACCCACAGCATATACACCACACTCACCACCCACAGCATATACACCACACTCACCACCCACACCATATACACCACACTCACCACCCACAGCATATACACCACACTCACCACCCACACCATATACACCACACTCACCACCCACAGCATATACACCACACTCACCACCCACAGCATATACACCACACTCACCACCCACACCATATACACCACACTCACCACACACAGCATATACACCACACTCACCACACACAGCATATACACCACACTCACCACACACACCATATACACCACAGTCACCACCCACACCATATACACCACACTCACCACCCACAGCACATACACCACACTCACCACACACAGCATATACACCACACTCACCACACACACCATATACACCACAGTCACCACCCACACCATATACACCACACTCACCACCCACAGCATATACACCACACTCACCACCCACAGCATATACACCACACTCACCACACACACCATATATACCACACTCACCACCCACACCATATACACCACACTCACCACCCACAGCATATATACCACACTCACCACCCACAGCACATACACCACACTCACCACACACAGCATATACACCACACTCACCACCCACACCACACTCACCACACACAGCATATACACCACACTCACCACACACACCATATACACCACAGTCACCACCCACACCATATACACCACACTCACCACCCACACCATATACACCACACTTACCACCCACAGCATATACACCACACTCACCACCCACAGCATATACACCACACTCACCACACACACCATATACACCACAGTCACCACCCACACCATATACACCACACTCACCACACACACCATATACACCACAGTCACCACCCACACCATATACACCACACTCACCACACACAGCATATACACCACACTCACCACACACAGCATATACACCACACTCACCACCCACAGCATATACACCACACTCACCACACACACCATATACACCACACTCACCACCAACACCATATACACCACACTCACCACCCACACCATATACACCACACTCACCACCCACAGCATATACACCACACTCACCACGCACAGCATATACACCACACTCATCACCCACACCATATACACCACACTCATCACCCACACCATATACACCACACTCACCACCCACACCATATACACCACACTCACCACCCACACCATATACACCACACTCACCACCCACAGCATATACACCACACTCACCACCCACACCATATACACCACACTCACCACCCACAGCATATACACCACACTCACCACCCACACCATATACACCACACTCACCACACACAGCATATACACCACACTCACCACACACAGCATATACACCACACTCACCACCCACACCATATACACCACACTCACCACCCACACCATATACACCACACTCACCACCCACACCATATACACCACACTCACCACCCACAGCATATACACCACACTCACCACCCACAGCATATACACCACACTCACCACCCACAGCATATACACCACACTCACCACCCACACCATATACACCACACTCACCACCCACAGCATATACACCACACTCACCACCCACACCATATACACCACACTCACCACCCACAGCATATACACCACACTCACCACCCACAGCATATACACCACACTAACCACCCACACCATATACACCACACTCACCACACACAGCATATACACCACACTCACCACACACAGCATATACACCACACTCACCACACACACCATATACACCACAGTCACCACCCACACCATATACACCACACTCACCACCCACAGCACATACACCACACTCACCACACACAGCATATACACCACACTCACCACACACACCATATACACCACAGTCACCACCCACACCATATACACCACACTCACCACCCACACCATATACACCACACTCACCACCCACACCATATACACCACACTCACCACCCACAGCATATACACCACACTCACCACCCACAGCATATACACCACACTCACCACCCACAGCATATACACCACACTCACCACCCACACCATATACACCACACTCACCACCCACAGCATATACACCACACTCACCACCCACACCATATACACCACACTCACCACCCACAGCATATACACCACACTCACCACCCACAGCATATACACCACACTAACCACCCACACCATATACACCACACTCACCACACACAGCATATACACCACACTCACCACACACAGCATATACACCACACTCACCACACACACCATATACACCACAGTCACCACCCACACCATATACACCACACTCACCACCCACAGCACATACACCACACTCACCACACACAGCATATACACCACACTCACCACACACACCATATACACCACAGTCACCACCCACACCATATACACCACACTCACCACCCACAGCATATACACCACACTCACCACCCACAGCATATACACCACACTCACCACACACACCATATATACCACACTCACCACCCACACCATATACACCACACTCACCACCCACAGCATATATACCACACTCACCACCCACAGCACATACACCACACTCACCACACACAGCATATACACCACACTCACCACCCACACCACACTCACCACACACAGCATATACACCACACTCACCACACACACCATATACACCACAGTCACCACCCACACCATATACACCACACTCACCACCCACACCATATACACCACACTTACCACCCACAGCATATACACCACACTCACCACCCACAGCATATACACCACACTCACCACACACACCATATACACCACAGTCACCACCCACACCATATACACCACACTCACCACCCACACCATATACACCACACTTACCACCCACACCATATACACCACACTCACCACACACAGCATATACACCACACTCACCACACACAGCATATACACCACACTCACCACCCACAGCATATACACCACACTCACCACACACACCATATACACCACACTCACCACCAACACCATATACACCACACTCACCACCCACACCATATACACCACACTCACCACCCACAGCATATACACCACACTCACCACGCACAGCATATACACCACACTCATCACCCACACCATATACACCACACTCATCACCCACACCATATACACCACACTCACCACCCACACCATATACACCACACTCACCACCCACACCATATACACCACACTCACCACCCACAGCATATACACCACACTCACCACCCACAGCATATACACCACACTCACCACCCACAGCATATACACCACACTCACCACCCACACCATATACACCACACTCACCACCCACAGCATATACACCACACTCACCACCCACACCATATACACCACACTCACCACCCACAGCATATACACCACACTCACCACCCACAGCATATACACCACACTAACCACCCACACCATATACACCACACTCACCACACACAGCATATACACCACACTCACCACACACAGCATATACACCACACTCACCACACACACCATATACACCACAGTCACCACCCACACCATATACACCACACTCACCACCCACAGCATATACACCACACTCACCACACACAGCATATACACCACACTCACCACACACACCATATACACCACAGTCACCACCCACACCATATACACCACACTCACCACCCACAGCATATACACCACACTCACCACCCACAGCATATACACCACACTCACCACACACACCATATATACCACACTCACCACCCACACCATATACACCACACTCACCACCCACAGCATATATACCACACTCACCACCCACAGCACATACACCACACTCACCACACACAGCATATACACCACACTCACCACCCACACCACACTCACCACACACAGCATATACACCACACTCACCACACACACCATATACACCACAGTCACCACCCACACCATATACACCACACTCACCACCCACACCATATACACCACACTCACCACCCACAGCATATACACCACACTCACCACCCACAGCATATACACCACACTCACCACACACACCATATACACCACAGTCACCACCCACACCATATACACCACACTCACCACCCACACCATATACACCACACTCACCACCCACACCATATACACCACACTCACCACACACAGCATATACACCACACTCACCACACACAGCATATACACCACACTCACCACCCACAGCATATACACCACACTCACCACACACACCATATACACCACACTCACCACCAACACCATATACACCACACTCACCACCCACACCATATACACCACACTCACCACCCACAGCATATACACCACACTCACCACGCACAGCATATACACCACACTCATCACCCACACCATATACACCACACTCATCACCCACACCATATACACCACACTCACCACCCACACCATATACACCACACTCACCACCCACACCATATACACCACACTCACCACCCACAGCATATACACCACACTCACCACCCACACCATATACACCACACTCACCACCCACAGCATATACATCACACTCACCACCCACACCATATACATCACACTCACCACCCACACCATATACATCACACTCACCACCCACACCATATACACCACACTCACCACCCCTACCATATACACCACACTCACCACACACACCATATACACCACACTCACCACCCACAGCATAAACACCACACTCATCACCCACACCATATACACCACACTCACCACCCACACCATATACACCACACTCACCACCCACAGCATAAACACCACACTCACCACCCACACCATATACGCCACACTCACCACCCACACCATATACACCACACTCACCACCCACACCATATACATCACACTCACCACCCACACCATATACATCACACTCACCACCCACACCATATACATCACACTCACCACCCACACCATATACACCACACTCACCACCCACAGCATATACACCACACTCACCACCCACAGCATATACACCACACTCACCACCCACAGCATATACACCACACTCACCACCCACACCATATACATCACACTCACCACCCACACCATATACACCACACTCACCACCCACACCATATATACCACACTCACCACCCACAGCATATACACCACACTCACCACCCACACCATATACATCACACTCACCACCCACACCATATACATCACACTCACCACCCACACCATATACATCACACTCACCACCCACACCATATACACCACACTCACCACCCACAGCATATACACCACACTCACCACCCACAGCATATACACCACACTCACCACCCACAGCATATACACCACACTCACCACCCACACCATATATATCACACTCACCACCCACACCATATACACCACACTCACCACCCACACCATATATACCACACTCACCACCCACAGCATATACACCACACTCACCACCCACAGCATATACACCACACTCACCACCCACAGCATATACACCACACTCACCACCCACACCATATACACCACACTCACCACCCACAGCATATACACCACACTCACCACCCACACCATATACATCACACTCACCACCCACACCATATACGCCACACTCACCACCCACACCATATACACCACACTCACCACCCACACCATATACACCACACTCCCCACACGGGAGTGCATACAGCACAGCACCGACACTCGCCAACCATACTCACCACGTGACAAAGACAAAGGCTCAGTGGGACCATGTTGTGCGAGGCTGAGTGGGATTGTGGGCCTCGTGCAGATGGGGATGTCCCGCACAAGATCGACCGCATCGTGGAGGGCAGCCCAGCGGCGCGCTCGGGCCAGCTGGAGGTGGGCGACCGCATCGTGGCGGTGAACAAGCAGCCCATTGTCCACCTGAGCCACGACCAGATCGTCAGCCTCATCAAGGCCGAGGGCAACACCATCCTCCTACGCATCGTGCCTGCCCGTGGCAAGACCCCCCCCCCACCCTCCTCGCGTTACACTCACCGCACTCACCGCGCTTACCGCACTCACTAACACAACAACTAATATACTAACATGCTCACTAACACACTGGCTAATGCGCACACTCGCTAGCACACTTGCTAGCATGCTCAATATCAAGCTTACTAAGATGCTCGTCGACATGCCCACTGATGTGCTCGCGCCCACACCACTCGCGCCCACACCACTCGCGCCCACACCACTCGCGCCCACTACCGAGCCAGCGGTGGACGCAGCACGTTTTCCCACGCCGCGACCGCGATGCTCACTCCCCCCGTGTTTCCTTGCAGACTCGGCTGCCCTCTCCCCCATCAACGACGACGACAGCTTCTCCAGCAGCCATGCGTCCGGCACTTTCCGCTCCGCAGACACGCTGGGGTAACTCGCACGAGGAGACGCGTCACAATGATAAACACACATTCCTGGTTCTTTCGGTAAAGTCACGTGACTTTACCGAAAGAACCAAGAATATGAATCACTGCTAGTCACGAATGCTTTAAATCAAAATGATAAACACGACGAGACACGTCCTGGTGACTCGCGCATGACGGGGTAACAGGCGCGTCTGGGTATAACGGGTGCGTCTGCCAAGAGCCTACAGACAGCAATGGGGTTTTCTTGTAGAGGCAACGCACACAGTCGGTTGCTCACCTCTTTGGGAAAAGATTTGGTTCTCTCCCGTCATATGCACGTCGCTTTCCTCCCAAATCAAACCATGACAAGAGTTGAGCTGACGCCCGCACGTCCAGAGTAAACGCAAAACTCCGCGCGGTGAGAGCATAACGAGAAGATTGAAATGTGCAAGCCGAGTCGTGATGCCCTCTGTTGTGCCACTGCTGTCCCAGGCCTGACCCTCGCAGCAGGAAGGACGTGAAACCCGACCCCAAGTCCTCACAGGTGAGGGGGGGAAGGAGGGGGAGGAGGAGAGATCATTGGGCACAGAGAGTCAGCACACGTTACCAAGATAGCCACATACAATATCTACGCACGCATGTACACATTAACAAGTACAGTAAACCCTCACGAATGCAGAATTCGTGAATGCAGAAACCTTGTTCCATTGGGAAAAATGTGGTTACGTTCCTGGTACGAGTGAACATCAGGGGGAATAGCTAAATGTTTAATAACAATGACTACAATACATAAATAAAAATAAATCATAAATAATGTTTTCTCCTCTTTGGTTCTTTCAGTTGAGTCACGTAGGTAAAAAATAAAATAAAGTTAATCAAATCACAATTATTATATTTTTTTACCTACGTGACTTTACCGAAAGAACCAAAGAGTATGGATCATTGCAGTCACGGAAACTTCAAATCTAGAATGATGTTCTTTTTTAATTACATTTGATGATGATTTTACGACGACGATGGTTGGTGGTGGTGCTGGTGATGGTTAGGAATTCAGGAGGATGACTCCTCTGGAGATGCAGGTGTTTGATAACCCACAGTTGTTATAATTTTACCACTGGGGAGTGCAGCCGCAACACTTTCCCTGATTGTATTTGCGTTCTTTTTAATGGACCTCACAGTCGACTCGTTTATACCAAAATGTATAAACGAGTCGACTCTTAGGTACGTATGAAGTAAAAATGCACAATAGCTTACTGTGAGACTAAGGACTCAGCGGGGAGCTGAGGGGGCGTGCCTAATCTTCGCAGACAGTTTCAAATGTATCAACATTCTACACGTACCTCCCCAGTGTCGGTGGTCTGGCACTACGTACATTCACAAATACTGGAGTCCGGCTGGTTGCGAATAGGGAATTAGCATGCACTTAGTAAATCGCAAATATGTGAACTCGCAAATCCATAACTAGCGTATGGCAAGGGTTTACTGTATACATTAAGCAAGTACGCGGTAATTTGCTCCACCCTGCGAGTCGCGCCAAGAGGCGTGCACCTTGCAGCCTCTGCGTTCACTGAACACAGCTGACGGTGCCACCCACAACTGACTTCATATTGGCCTCTACACTTTACATTAGGTGTCGGATGAGTCTGAAATAATTCACTTGAAAAGACACCAACGACGCACGGACCACACCTTAACCATATATTCACCCCACACACAGACCACCCACACGCACTGTGTGTTTGCATTGGGCGGATGGGCCTGCTGCTGCTGCTGTGGCGCTTTGCTCACCGCAATACGACCCTGGCGACTCGGGGTCGGCTCTGCCCGTGGCAGCACACGACCCCGCCGTAACCCCGCCGTGCACCTCCCCATTGCCCCCGGGAATCCCCTGGGTGGACTTGGTTCGAGCGCCAGGCGCGATGGTGCTGCAGGGGCCGCCGTCCGTCCTGGACGGGCGAGGCCTGCCCCCCCTCCCCCTCGTGCGTGTCACGGGGGCCTCGGTGTTCGTTTAGCAGTTGCACTTGCCTTTGTTGCCGCCGCTGCCGCCGCAGGTGTCCATGTACTATCTGGTGGACCTGGAGCGCGGCCCCTATGGGTTTGGGCTGAAGCTGGACGGCGGCCGCGAGTTCAACCGCGACCTCGCCATCGTGTCGCTCGCTCCCGACAGCCCCGCCATGCGCAGCGGCAAGATACAGGTGACGTCTCCCGCGCGTGCCGGTGCCTCGTCTGCCGGATTGTGCATCTCCTGGGTCGTGGATCTCCTCGGGTCCTTCGTAACCTTTTGCCCTCGATGTCCTGGTTTCTGGATATCCCGGGTCCTTGGTCCCCTGCGACTCCTCGCTTCGCTTCCATGACGTCCCCGGGTCCCGCCGTGCCCCCCGTGAGGCGAGCAGGCACCTCGAAATCGAGTTCCCCCGAGTCCCGCTCCGCGTCTCGTATCTCGCGGATGACGACGTCGGTGGCTGACGCGAGTCCCCGTTGTCCCGCGCAGGTGGGGGACCGCATCATGGAGATCAACGGGGAGAGCAGCAAGGACATGACGTACCAGCGCGCGATCGACGCCATCAAGGCCAGCGGGCGGCGCGTACACCTGCTCCTCAAGCGACGCGGCGCACCCGTCACGGACTACGGTTAGCGAGGACGCCCTCACCCACAGGCATCGCTCCGGCGGCGATGAGTACACGCGTGCACCGCACACACCTCCGCGCTCGGCAGCGCCCGCACCGTGCTCGCCACGCCGCTGCTGTTGCCGTAAGCGATGTCGGCGAGCACCCCATTAAGACGCGCGTAGCACACGACTGTCCTGCTTGGACGCGTTTGACCTCTCGGGGAGTTTGTGCATATGTAGAGAAACCGGATCGCTAGCACAACACTGCACGTGAGGGTACGACACTGAAAGCTCCGTCTAAACGAGTGAGCGACCGACTTTCTGTCCACTGGTCATCGTGCAGCCTCTAGCACGCACGAACGCTTGCGCGTCACTCCCATGCATGCAGAGTCCATCATCTGTACGTCGGATGGTGAACTGCACCACGGCGCCCTCCAAGGAGAGACCTTACCCCATCAGATGGCTCAAAGGAGGCTCCCCGCTGTCCGCAGCGGTCATCCCAAAACCGCTTAGGGAGAGAGATGGTGCCACTCGCAAATGAGATCCCTGTTACAGTTTCCCAAGCTTCTGCTGCCTGTGCGGTTTAGAAGGCCATACTTTCTGACCTTCATGGCTCTCGATAAGCGGTCTAGGCTCTTGGTAAACGTTCAGGTTGATGTTCATATACGGTCACTCTTTTGAGCCTGCAAGGCATTGTGGATTGGTCCGTAACTCTGTGCCCTGATTGTGCACTATTTACCGGTGTTCAGACACATTCCAGGCTTTTTACGTCACCTTGGCATTGTGTGTAAAAAATATTCCTGTAGTGATTTTTGTAAATGTGTAAGCGTGCAATGTCCTTTGGTGTGTGGGTATAATGTGCATGCTGAATATAAATCTGCGGAAGTAATACTGTACTGTCAACACATCTGTAATCCAGCCCTGTTGATGCAGGGATGGTTGGCAAATTGCAGAAAATTGCACAATTAGGTTGCCATCGCCTGGCTTCGAGGCCTTACCCCCTCTCGCACATGTGGATTTCCTCCGGCATGTATAAACACAAATTATTGGTGCGGGCCAAACATCCCATATCGGACCACAGAGCTTGGGCAATTGTTGGAGCCGATTCTGATGGTCTGCGGATTCCTGCGCGTGCGAGCGTGCGTGCAAACACTGCGCACATTGGGAACTCTGCAGGGTTTGAGACGCAATTTGCATGAATGCTTCCACGATATATATTATATTATTGTGCTCGACACCAGATTCCAGTTTGCACCCGTCCAGGTGAAGAGCTGAAACTTTATTGACAGGAATCCGTTGTTCCCACGTGCGATTAGGGAGTTGTCGCTTCCGCAGATTTAAATCAGGGCTTGTTGAGAGACGCCACGTGGGCGTCTCTGTGCACCCTCGCTCCCCCGCTCTCTAACTCTGAATGTTGGGCTCTCCTTTGTCTCCCTTCAGGGGTGGTTCCTTCCCATCTCTTCATGTATTTGCAAAAATGACACAAGTACGAACCCCTTTGTTCCCTCCTCCTCTGGGCCTCCCTGGGCGAGACGGTTTGTAAATGTTTGCAAGCCTCGCGAGCTGCTTGAATGCGCACGCCCGTCCGCCCGCTCGCCTCGACGGCTCACTTGCATGCACACTCGTTCTTCTGCTCGCGAGCTTGCACGCTTGCTCATCCTCTGTCTCGCTCACTCACTTGCTCACCTGCTCACTCGCTTGTACACTCGCTCACTTGGTCACTTGCTTATCCGTTCTCCTGCTAATGCACTCGCACACTTCCTCATTCGTTCACTCACTTATTCAACAGTCTGCTCATCAGCTCTCTCACACGCTCACTCACTGTCCACTCACCTGGTCATCAGCCCAATCACCCGCTCACTCCTGCATGGTCAACACCACCACCACCACCTCCTCCACAACTCCGGTGGCTCTGCTCAGTTGCTCCTGTTGAATTGAGACGGTGCGGCTCGGAGGGAGGGTCCTCGTGATGATCCTGCGCAGGTCACACACACGCAGCCTGGATTTTGTATAGAGAGGTCGAGGCTGTTGCTTGGGCGAGGGACAGACGTACACGGGAGGATGGATTACAGTACAACAGGGCCTCTCAGTCGGTTCGTTTCACCATGGCCCTGTGCCATGGCTGAGTGAACAGCTCAACAGTAGCATCTTGGGACCCATTGGTTACTTAACTGCTGCTGGAAAGTCCATCTCCTGGCCCGTGCTGCTCACTCTGCCACAGACCTCCCAATATAAACAGTGCGGAATTCTCAGCCCTGCCGACCACGTGCTCCACGGAGCCCTTCAAAGGCCTGCCAATAGCCACGTGACCCAAAAGCCACCCTGTGGTGTATGCCACATGGCGTCTATTATCAGGTGACCAATCATACATGCAGCACAGACACTGGAGATGCACAACGCAGAGACGTCCAGGTTGAGGTTTAGTTTAGTTTAGTTTCATTTATTTGGTATAGCTCTGTGAGCCATTCGGCTCTTGAATTGGGTGCAACCGCAACAAACAAAAACATGAACAAGAAAACATCTTAAAGTGACTTTGGGCGGTGCATGTGGGCAGGAAGGAGACGGGAGGCAGCAGAGGGGTTGTAATTCCCCAGTGCTCGCAGAGCCACATGAGGGAGCACTCCCATCCTGGCATAGCAGGCACAGCATGCAAACACAAAGCACGCACAGAATGCAAACACACAGCACGCACAGCATGCAAACACAGAGCACGCACAGCATGCAAACACAGAGCACGCACAGCATGCAAACACACAGCACGGACAGCATGCAAACACAGCAGGCACAGCATGCAAACACACAGCACGCACAGCAGGCAAACGCACAGCATGCAAACACACAGCACGCACTTACGCAGCACACATACAGCACACATACAGCACACACAAAGCACACAGCATGCACACCACACACAGCACACACACAGCACGCATACACAGCACGCATACAGCACACAGCACGCATACACAGCACGTATACAGCACACATACACAGCACGCATACAGCACACGTACACAGCACGCATACAGCACATGTACACAGCACGCATACAGCACACATACACAGCACGCATACACAGCACACATACACAGCACACATAAACAGCATGCATACAGCACACATACACAGCACACATACAGCACACATACACAGCACGCATACAGCACACATACACAGCACGCATACAGCAAACACATACAGAGCACGCATACAGCACACATACACAGCACGCATACACAGCACGCATACACATCACGCATACACAGCACGCATATACAGCACACACACAGCACACACACAGCACACATACACAGCACGCACGCATACACAACACGCATACACAGCACGCATACAGCACGCATACAGCACGCACACAGCACACGCACACAGCACGCACACAGCACGCACACAGCACGCATACACAGCACACATACACAGCACACATACACAGCACGCATACACAGCACGCATACAGCACACATACACAGCACGCATACAACACGCATACAGCACACATACACAGCACTCATACAGCACACATACACAGCACGCATACAGCACACATACACAGCACGCATACAGCACACATACACAGCACGCATACAGCACACATACACAGCACGCATACAGCACACATACACAGCACGCATACAGCACGCATACAGCACACATACACAGCACGCATACAGCACACATACACAGCACGCATACAGCACAGATATACCCTGTGGACACACAGAGAAAACTGAACATAGTTTTCAGTCTGCTCTGTTCTATCCAAACTGTAGAGTAGAGCCTTGCCAAGGCGTCATTTTGGTTCAAAATTCGTTTTCACGATGGTGCTGCGAATCACAGTTAGCCATCGATTCTTAAAAAATCCCCACGCACAACAGCTTGCTGTACTGCTCGCCACTCCATCTCCTCTTCGACATAGGACTAGAAGCGTGCATCACCATAGCCAGTGCGGATTATGTAGGCACAGCTGCATACACGGTGGACAGCCCTTGGCAGAGTTGGCTGCAGTCCGATTGCTTCCCACGGGGATTCAGGCGGTGATAGTGGCACGGCATGGCTCTCACCGAGATTGGGTGCTCAACAAAACGTGTTGGCATCCATCGGTCAAAACACATCATGGCTCCTGAACCATGGCGAGAACCGGGTGGAGCCCACCTGGGTTCATTGTCCGAACCAACGGTGGAAATATCCCACGTTTATTTACCAGGGACCACATTTTCTTAGGGACGGGTAATGACCCCCTGTACCAAGCGCTGCCGTCGGTGCCGCTTGGTGCATCGCAGCACACAGCTCCCCACCCCACCCCCCTGTGTGCCCTCGCCCAGACTTAGCACAACGGTTCCTTGTCGCGCCACCGCTGCTGCTGCGCTTGCCGGGTGCAGTCGCAGTGGTGCGCCAAGGCCTGGAGCCTCGCAGTCGCTGCAGTCCCCCGTGCACGTAATGTGACGCGTGTAGGCAGGTCACACACTCGCCATTCGATCCGTTATCGTAATTCGGCGGTTTTGTTTGGTGCCACCCGGGCACCGGCCCGTTGCACGTTCCACCAGAGATGACTGCACGTTTAGCGTGGGTGGGTCATGTCTGTCGTAATAATGCCCTTGATGACATCACACCACTGGATTGTTGGGTGGAGTTGATTCGAGTTTTTGGGTTGAGATATCACAGTTGTAAGGTTGTGTCATAGGGTCGTGTCGTCAGGTATGGTCTTGTCGTGGGTTCGTTTTAGAGTCGTGTGAAATCTCGTCATTGGGTTATTTTTTGTAGGTTTGTGTTGATTGGTAGGGCCGTGTTGCACGGCGCCGCGGCGCCAGCGTTGGCATCGTGAACTCACGGTCTCCGCTGTCTCTGTGTCGCAGATCCCGACTCCTCGCGGAGCCCAACGGCTCCTCGCCGCGCCACCTTCGGCTCGCCGGCCGCCTCGGTCCCCACCGGCGCTGGCGGCGGCTCCACGTTGCCCCCCCGCGTGGAGCGCGGCGTCGACCCCCACGCAGCCCGGCTTCATGCGCGCGAGCGCGTGAGAGACAGAGAGAGGGAGGCCGAGGCGAGGGAGCGACAGTGGGAGGAGAGACAGCAGGAGAGAGAATGGCAGCAGGGGAGAGAGAAGGAGAGGGAACGGGAAAAGGAACGAGAAAAACAGAGTGCGCGAGAGAGGGAACGAGAGGATAGGGACAGGGAAAAGGAGAAGGAAAGAGAGAGGGAACGGGAAAAAGAGAGAGCACGGGAGAGGGAACGAGAGAAGGAGAGGGAACGAGAGAAGGAGAGGGAACGAGAGAAGGAGAGGGAACGAGAGAAGGAGAGGGAACGGGAGAGGGAACGGGAACGGGAGAGTGTGCGTCAGGAGAGAGAGTTGATGGAGAGGGAGCAGGAGAGGCTGAGGTTCGCTCGGGGCAAGGAGCAAGACGGCGTTGTAGCCAGCAAGTCGAGCGTGCAGGACGAGGTCGACCACCAGACGTCGAAGTATGTCGGAAAGCAGCAGCAGCAGCAGCAGCAGCTCCGGCCCCCCAGGGAGAAGACCGCGGACGCGCTGGACGCTGCCGCACAACGCGTGGAGCCGAGCGACGGTGGCGGCGGTCGTCCACGGAGGACGGAGGCCGGGCCAGAGACAGAGTTGCTGGGCCCGGGGTCGGCGGAACGAGGCGACGCAAAGCCTCGCGTGGACAGCGCGAGCTCGGGCTGGACCGACGATGGCACGGGCCGGAGGACCCTGGCGCCGGGGCCCTGGAAGGTGCCGGCCTCCGACAAGTACCCGGCTCCGCTGAAATCGTCACGTGGGAAAACGAGCAGGAAGTGAGGCGCCGGGTCGAACGGCGCCGCGCAGCAGCGGTGGTGCCCAGAGGTGTGGGAAGACAGCGGCGGAGCGTGACGCCCGCCCGCCCGCCCGTGCATTGACACGGATGACCTAAAGGCGTTTGGCCACTGATCAGAATTTAACTTTTTTTTATACAAAGTCTGGGGAATGTCACCGTGCGTTGTGTCGCCATGGCCTCTGCTTAAGTGATTACTGTGGCTGCAAGGGCTAAGCAGTGTGAGCGAAGCGGTTTATTGTGGGTACAGCACTGCTGATGACTGCCACGGGGACTGCACCATCCCTGCTCTCCCTCTCGAGTTTGACTCCATCTCCCCACCCAGACCCCTGAAGACGCCACCGGTTCCCCTCTGCGTCCACCCTCTCTGTCGCAAGACGCCGCAGGCTCAGCGGAGACTGCACGAGTCCCAAACGGGGGGCTCCGCTTTCGTCTCGGTCACGTGGCCCACTCGGCGCACGTCCTGCCATCTGCGGTGATGGGGGGAGCGGCCGTTTCTGGTTTTCACAGACACTGCATTGAGAAGGCAAAGTCATAAAATTATCACAACCTCAACAACCTTTACTCGAACGCTCGAATCATTCCACAGGGTCACCCACGGCCTTTCGTGGGGGAGGTTGAAATTCGCTCCGCGTCCGCGAGCGCCTTCCCCATCGCAGCGCCCGGCCGTCTCACCGCTCGTCATCGCCACGAATTCTTCAGCGGCGTTCGGCGGCGGGTGTCGAGGTGTCGTGCTCCCTGCGCGCAAGGGACGGGGTCTCCCTGCGCGATGCGCGGTGAGGTCGGCACAGCAGAGCGCCGATCTCTGTCGCCATCCTCACAACCGTGGCGGTCCGGCCGGACGGCGACGAGGATTGTCGCTTCTATCTGGGATTTCAGAAGCGGTGGGGGGGGGGCTTCCCAGAAAATGTAGAATTTTTCTTAAAATAAAAATTAATAGTAAGCAGAAGCGGCTCCTCTGAGATGCAGTTCTACTTCACATTAATAATACAATAAGCAGATGGGAAATATAAACCTGTCACGAAGAAATTTTTAGCAAATATGCACATATTGACATTTTCTATGCTTTGCGGAAACTAACCCAACACAGTGTTGATTTAAAACTCAAGGGATTCACGCTAATAACGCAGTAAGCAATGGGAAGTGATGCAAGTCGATTTGCAGATGTGAATCTCGGTACGGCATCGTATGCTGTAGTGGCCACACGTTGAACGTTTGCTGGCAGTTGCAGCCCAGGATGCGTGTGGATTGGCTCGCTGTCATTGTGATTGGCCGATTCAGAGAAGGCAGCAAGAGACTCTCAGCCCTTGCTTGGGCAATGTCACCTGGTACAGTTGGAGCCGTTTGCCTCGCTCACTCGCAGGAGGCGGTGAGAGCAGTCGGACTCCCGAAGGATGGCACCGTCGCGGACCAGAGGAAGTCTGCGTAGCTCCGTGTGCGCGACGCACGCTACGTCACCACGGTTGTGACGGTTCGGGCGATCCTATGATTGAGTGCACGTGCATGTCCGTGCGAGTGTATGCGTGTGCCCATCGGGCAAGCCCATGTGCACATTTCTGACATTTTGTCAGAAAGTGCTGCCTCCTTTAAAGGACTGGCGTGGCCCGTTTCGTTTATATTCTGTTTGGAGATGGTTTTTACAAAATAATGCACGTACTGAGACACGGTGGTTATGAACAATAGTAGCATTTGCACTGAGTGCGCGTGAGACGCTTGACTGGACCCGAGGCCTCGGTTTAACAAGCGACGCCGGCGCGGGGCACGGCAGTCAACGCTCCCGGCGTCCATGTGTGGACGCGCGGGTCCCCTGGGGAGGTCACCAATGGGACTCGTGTCCGCTGCGCCAACCGTGGTCACACGTTGTCCACGTGCGCAAGCAGCAACAGCAGCAGCTGTTTACGACGATCGGCTCCACGCTACCTCAATCGCCTGTTCTCACTGGCACAGGTGCTCGCACTCGTAGTGGGCTTGCTTTGGCCAGCACGCCCGTTCAAACGGCGTCCATTCACTCACGGCGTCAGCGTGATTTTATCCGATCATTTGCACAGAGCTCAAACGTGCGTTCCTGTGTGGACTCGTCGTACAATGTCCCACTGTACCTTGCATTTGTTGCGTTTGGCCTTGAGAGGGTTATTGTGACGGCATAAACAATGATCGGTCAAATAGCATGGTTTCCCGCACTTCCGATTAGCACAGTTGGCTACGTACGGTGAGAAAGAAGTTCACACCAGTCGCCTGGTTTATAATTTTTTTGGGACTCTGCTACCCTTCCATCAAACTGTTTAGAGAACATCCGCTCCCACTCACACTGGGGATTTAAAAGTTTGAATTGACATCTCCTTAATTCTGATTAAAGAACCAGGTGAGGTTTTCTCCAGCCACTGAGAATTGTCATCAAATGGAAAAAAACAATTCAAGAACACCGGGTCAGCTGCTGATGCCGAACTTTCAAACCCACCTAATGGGACACCCAGCCGCTCACCGAACGTTTAAATAATTTAAAAAGGGATTTATTAAATATCTCAAGTAACATGAATTCCTTTAGCCGAGCAGTTCTCTGCACAAACAGAACCTTTGGCGCAGTTTTGGCAGAACTGATACTCGTCAGCAAGATGTCACCTGTGAATTTGTGATCAGCCCTAACACTCGGCCATTCGCGAGACTCCTGCGCATATCGAAATGCGGTGCTGCTGCATGTTTCAAATTAATTTTGTTGAACCAGTTGAGAATCCACCAAGACCAGGATGAGTCTCAATTGCAAGAGTGACCCAGGGCATTAGTCTCCCAGTAGGGCCATGATTGCTGCGTGTGATACAAATTGAGTAATTTGCGGTGTCTTTTTTTCACCTCGACGCCAGCACACAATGGCCTACTCTTTGCGAATGATGACACGGGGTCTTTGACGTAGACCGATAAGCAGAATGCGCGTATTATTACGGTTGTTACACCAGTAGTAATAACCAGGGCGGCCACTGGATTCAAAACGGAACCTGTGCAACGAGCGGCGAATGCGCCACCCCTTGACCACTTGTGCATCTAATTCATTGCTTGGCAAAAGATGATGAGGCAACGTCTTCTGAAGAACTTACCGAGGTATGGAATGGAAATAATTATTAACAATTCAGGCCCAAGCATTGCTGATGAGAAGCAATGATGTCCAAACATGATCAGGGATGCCGGGTTTTGGGAAATCTTTGTATAATTTCCAAAGTGTATAAAGTATATCATCTGGATCCTAGGTTAAGCCACTGCACTTGGACCCTGTTTTGGTGGCGAGGTTTTGTCCGTCGAGTATCTAGAGTGCTGTGTGATCCGGGGTCGGTGTGAGCTGCCCTGGCAGTGTTGGCCAGGTCGATCGCTCGCAGACTCGTGCGCGGTTCCCGACAGCCTCCGCTGCAGTTTGCTCTCCTCTCGGACTCGGCTCGGGGGATTGCGTATTCCGAGCAGTTGTCGTGGTCCTCTAAATGCACCGCTCTCGCTTTGATGGGAGCGCCAGGCCTCTCGTTACGTGGAACCGCACCTCGCTCCCACGTGTTGTCTCTTGTGGGGTGAGGGCGGCGAGCGAGCGAGGGCGGAGGCGACGAAGAGCGCCTTCTCAAAGTTCTCTGGAGGTTTGACAATTGGCGACTTCGTGCACAGCATAGTCGTGGCCAAAGGTGGCACCGGTACAGGGATTGTGAAGGATGTGAAGGCACCGCTCTTGTGGGGTGATGACGACAATCAACGTGTAAAGCTTTATCTCACAAACTCGAGCCATGCCCCCCCCCCCCCCTCCTTCTTTGTTTTCCAGCAAAGCCTTCTGGTCGCGCAATTCTCCGTTCTCTAGCGCCGTGGCCTCCGTTCCACGCGGCCGCATCTTCTCCGCACAGTGCGAGGCTCCGATCTCAGATGCGGTTGCGACGCAGTTTTTTCCCCAGCGCGGTTTTATATCTGCAAACGTGCGCGTGCATGTGTGTGCGTGCGTGTGTGTGCGTGCATGTATGTGCGTGCATGTGTGTGCGTGTGTGTGTGCGTGTGTGTGTGTGTGCGTAAACACATGAGTGTAGTTTGGCTCCAAAATGCAGAGACGGCAGCACTTGGACATGCTCCGAGACAACGAGCAGAGTTTTGTTATTGAGTCTCTCCCGTTGCTTAACGCGCATTCAGTATGCGGCGAGTACTAAAATTGCACTTTAAAAGGTGATGTGCTGCCTTGGCAATGTCTGATATGGGAGTGCGATTCCAGCTGAAGCGAACTACGGAGCCGGCCTCAGCACCGTGGCGTTCACGCGTCGGGCCACACCGATTTCACGAGTCGCACTTTTGAGATCACAAACATTCCTGGACGCACCTCCCCACCCCCACAGGCATCATGACCATGCGTGGCCCGTGCACGCGCGACCTCGGTGGATTCGCTTGCGTTGACCATATTGATTCGAAAGCAACGGAACCCTTGAGTGTCGCTTCTGCTGCTGCTGCCAGGGCCACGAGGATAGGGTCAACCAGAGGGGCATCGCTTATTCCTTGCCATGCTCCTGCACCTCCACTCGTCCACCCGACCCCGTCCCTCGCACCAACATTCCGATCGTTTCTCCATGCTGTATGGAAAAAGCAGCGGCCGCTGGGTTGCTAGGTATGGTCGTCACCTGTCAGGATTTGACCTGGACATTCTGGGAAATGGAAACGCAGTCTGGAAAAGGTGGTAACCCAAGTGCTAGGCCTGGCTGACACATGTATTCAGCGGAAAGCTCCCTTAATGGACACGGATTTAGACAATGAAGGGAATTTCTCATTTGAGATTTTTTCATATTCTGTATAAACACCGTGGGAATGGTTCTCGAGACCACACTGGGGTATGGCGAGCGGGTGGTGATGCTGAAGCCGTGAACACAGCTCACGCAGGGGGGAGCACACTGAGTGACGTGCAGCTGTAGCCCAACACCACCACTGCCGCACGTCCACACCTAGGTAGGATCCTTCCTCGTGTCCCTTGTATATTATTCCAACCATGGTACTCATTGTTTATACTCTCCGTATACTGTATATGCATGTAACGAAGGTACGGCGTAAACGACAGCATTTGGAACTTGAGATTTTTACATGGCCACCAGTTGGCGTTAACGTGAATGGCGCGCTGTATCGTGCGGGTGGGGGCGTCTTCTGTGCAATGCCGGGCGGCGCCGTGTGGCCTCGCGGGTCACCACCCACAGCACCGTGGCACGCGCCCCGTCGGGAAACGGCCAAGGGGACATTTTCCCTCCTTGTGGGGGCCACCGTACACCGCTGGTCCTCTGGGTTGCATGGGCACCGGCGCTGTGGATTTGTGGTGCCCCAGGCATAGGGTGGGGGGGGCCCTGTGCTGTGGGGAAGCACACGAGGAAGTGTTTCTGCTTGCCCTTGAATGCGCTGCGCATTGCGGATTTTGGTACAAATCGTATGTGCAAACACTTTATATGAATGGTGAATGCTCGTGTGCGCTGCTGCCCGGGGTGGTGCATCCGGCGTCCTATCGTACAGGATGGCAGCGGTAGGCTCTGGCGAAGTTTATTCCATAACGGTACAAGGTGTGGGACACTAACTGTTGAATTCTTATATTGATTACGTATATATTACAAAAGGACTGGATTCCTTGAAAAATCTCATTATATTCATAGGTGAATAGACCAAATATGTTATGTTTATTTGTTTAATGAAGAGTGTTTTTAATGTTTTGTATGGCAGCTGGTAAGTTTATATTTGAAACAATGGAAATTCTGATGATTTTGAGTAAATATATAAACAAAGAATATTTTATGCTAAAAAGTTATACCCAAAATGCAACTTAGTGGTGTTACCGGGGCTGTGATCCATGCAAACGCTACAAGCACTGATTTCTTATTCCAAGCCATCGTTTTCCAACTTAAATTTGCTAACCCATCTTGAGCATCCTGCATGCGTCCGTTGGGCACTCCTTGGCAGGCGGTGAGCCACTGCGTTCAGAGGTCACCTAGTGCGGGGCTGGTCAGGGGAGTGTGTGGGACCGGCTATACCTACACTTGTTTCACTTGCATTCACTCGCCGCGGCTGCATCCTTCTGGCTCCTACTCGCCTGCCTCGCCGCGCAAACGGCAGCAGCAGGTGCCTTTGGCAATCGGCACAGGCCTGCCACGGTCAGCCAAGCTGTGTTTACACGAGGGCGCAAGGCCACAACGGACTTGCTCTCAACCAAACCAATTCTAACTATGGTTAAGGTTTAGAAAGCCCTGCCAAAGTCCATACTCTTACGCTACCACTGCCCATACCCACGTGGGTTTATTTATACGACCACAATCTAGAATTCAGACATCCCACTTGTAGTAATCTCCCGTTGAATCTTGTTTTTTTTTTAAAGCAAAAGTCCTACAAAATGTCCACCACAGAGAACCTCCCTGATGTAAGGATGCCCTGGTAATTTCTCTGCCTGACTTTCGACCTTCCCTCTCTGTCCTCCCTGGAAACGCTAAGTACTCCCGTCACACCAGAAGCTGCTTCAGGGCTACCAAGTGTTTGTCTCCAGTCCACGTTGAGAACTGACCCATTGCACGTTCTGATCAAGTAGGTGTTCTGAAGGGCCCTCGTGTAGGCACAACTTTTAGTCTCATGGAACTGTACGATCGCACTCCTTTATGCAAAGGTTTTTTCCCGGTACTCTGGTGTTCTCGCGACACAAACATGTAAAAAGAAAATTTGCTCGCGTCTCAATCGGTACACGGATAAATAATTGCCTAGCCCAGCGAGGCTTCCCAGGGTCAATCGCAACTTGTATTTAACTTGCATCCTGTATTCACGCTAATCACTCTGGACATGCATGGGGGGGGGGCATTGCAGGTTATTATGGACATTTCTTTAAAGCGACCAAAATTACGTGTACAGTTTAAGTGGTTTCTCTTCAATTGTTACATTTTCCGTTTACAAGACCCACCTGCAGACTGCACTGGTAGAGTGTCATCTTTTGCAAACTCCTTACAGCTCACAGCCTTGCACCCTAATATATTTTTACTGTTATTTACCGAGTGTATTCTGTATACATGGACCCAAGCTTACGGAGTGATGAATTATTTGAAATGCGCAATCTCGTCTGCTCTGGTTTAGTTTTGTGTATACGGATTAAACTTCACTCTCGGACAGCGTGCTATTCGCCCACTCGTTTATTCATTTCGCGGCTTTACAGCGCGGAAGTGACAGGCCCAGTGCTGCCCGTGCTGCGCCGAGGCCGGCGGGTCAGCCCAACGCGCAGGTCTGCCGATTTGTAAATCAGATGCTGCAAACGGAAGCATCCTGGAGAAACTTGACAATGCACAACAGCGCCATTGTCCAGAAAATACCAAGGAGGGCTACGTGTGGAGAGATGCAAGAAAATTACGAAGAGTGGATTTCACCCTCGCTGATGAAACCACGACATAAAATAAAATATGGGATAGAGGTTTTTTTTTTTTTGCAGGACACCGCTCAAATATTGATTTGAATCTCAAGTCAACATTGTGACTGCACTGAGAACAGCGACTGAATCTGGTCAGAATCAAAATGATTGAGGCAAAAGACAGCAGGCTGTAGCACTTTTGTAAATCTGAACTTGACAATGAAAATAAGAGTAATGTGCACAAAGGCTGCTTTTAACGAGGCCATACTACCCGCTGACATCAATCAAAAATATGAACAAAATGGAACAAAAATGTATAACTAGGATATGTACGATTGGAGTAACATTGAGAGACAGAAAGAGGAACACATGATTCAGGGAACATTCACAGGTTATTGGAGTCATCCTCCAGCCTGTTGACAAGTGAATTTGGGCAGGACGCATCACGAGAACGTACAATTTCCGGTGGTCAAAAATTTACGGAGTGGCAATGGAGGAATGGAGTGCATCTGAGGGGAGGTCCATGGAGATAGAGCAGTAAAAGCAGTTCTTGTGCAGGTGCCAGGTATTTAGATGTCAGTATCACGAGAGACGGCGGCTTGGGAGGCCTTCATCAGCGAATTACCATGACTGGTGATGGGGAAGCACTCTTAACTGAAATTCATTACTGAGAATGAGCGTTTTAATATCGCGTCATTCATCCAAGCTGCATATCACAACACCGCGTAATCCGCAAACATGGAGGTGCATATAGATTAAGATGTTTTGGCCAGTCAATGATAATGTTTGAGAGTAAACTAGAGCACTGCACGAGGGGGTAACACTCCATCCGATGCAGATGAGATATATTTGTTCACATTTTGCTGTACCGCATATTCCTGGTTAGCCAAGGTATGGCTCCTTGATGCCTAAAGGAAGAGATTTTCGCAAAATGTTGTGCAAATCCACCAACCCTCGCTGCCTCCATAGTGCTGGATTACAGGCCATGTGCGTTGCCATTGCCATCACCTGGCTAGTTGCCAATCAAAATTCAAACAATTAACAAAAACGGTGATTTATCTTTAGAAGACCTGAACACGAGGAATTTATGAAAAAGTACACATGGGTTGCAGGTCTTTCCCCGACCACAAAATATAAAAGATCCCCCATATCGCCTTGACGAATGGGGGAGCGTTATCGAGCAGACTAGTGCACTAGTGCTAATGTGTGGACACCTGCACCAGGTACTTATTTATGACTGAGTCGACCTAGAGAATCAAAACCGATTCAGATAATTGTCACGGACGTTGGCCATGAGCGGGAATCTAACCCGGTTCGCCAGGTCCTTAACGCAGTGCGCTAACTGCTACACTACCGCTCCACGCACGATCGCATTCACATACACGCTGCCCCCCCATCCCATCCTGGCGACGCTCAGTAGAGCTTGAGGTGTCCCGTGACGCGGTCGACGGCGCCGGCGGGGCCGGGTCCGACCCCCAGCACCGTGCACGTCCCTGGCGCTACCTGCGTGCGCCCGGCGTCGCGCACCAGCGACACGGGGAGGCCCAGGGCGCGCGCGTGCGCCAGCAGCTCGGCCAGACCGGCCTCGTCCGGCACGCGCGTCACCACCTTGGCCTGACCGCCCAGCTCCCAATGGCGCAGGGCGTCAGCGTGGCGCGCGCCCGCCTGGCGGAACGCCGAGACGGCCGCGTGCGCACACTGCGCCGCCACCTTGCCCTTGCCCATCTTGAGGTCGGAGCGCACGACCAGCACGAGCTTCCACTCCCCGCCCTCGCTCATCACCTCCGCCGAGTCCCCTGCTCCCCGGGCTCCCTCCGCAGAAGGGTCCCCGCTGCTGCCCCCCGTAGCCGAACCCGGACGGGCGCCGCGGCCTCGCAGTAGCAGGCAGAGGCAGAATCCGCACCCGAGGCCGGTGAGGAGAGAGAGCGTCACGGGGGATGTGAGCACGTCCATCCTGTGCAACGGCAGCACGCGCTGGGGTCGTCACTATTTCCACAGACCGAGCCCGGACACATTTCTCCACGGTCAACCTCGATCTACCAAAACTGCAATAAAGTTCAACACGGTGAGTGAGCAGGTAATAGTCCTTGGGCCAGACCAGCTATCGGTACCACCCAAAGTGGCAAAATTTAAATGGTGCCAATTTATTTGTTAAACCAACAAATAAAATAATACATAACCTTTCCAAATGAGCAGTTGTTTATTTTTCGATTTAAAGCTTTCGTGACTGCAATGATTCTGGAGTGCGCTCCAGCGCTGTCCTACCAGACAGTCTCGCCCCCTTCACCTGATGAAGGCCGCTTGTGTTGTGGCCGAAACGTCGTGAGAATATTATTGTTATTTTATTTTATCAATTTATTATTTTATTATCATTCTACGTGACTTTACCGAAAGAACCAAAGAAGACAGTTGTTTATTCTTTTTCGAAGGAAACCTGTTTTTGCACCTATCGCAATCACCCTTATTTGCCTGGACGTTACAAATAAAACATTCCAACACCCCTGCTGTTAATTAAGACAATAATTTACAAAATGGATGTTTGTCCCCAAGGCATGTATTTCATAGATTTTCTTGCATTTATTCATGCTTGTTCTTCAATTTCGGTGACTTAGTTAAGTCTGGAATAGATTGGTGCTGTTTTCCTTCTGTTTCTAGCAGCTTGTTTGCTCATCATCATTTACTGGCAGGTGAGGCAAGTCCTGGTGGTTCTGTATTATTTCTGTTCAGTAAAGATATCTAAAGTGCTAACTTTACCCTCAATGTAATGTTAATGTACCTGTTAAGATTATTCGTTAAAGCCAGGTACTACAGGCAAAAAGAATTATTTTTGTTCAGTTTGTCAATTTTTATATATATTTTTATATTTTGCTCCTATTAATAACGTGTAGTGGGTTGTATGGAGACGGGAGTCTTCTTAGGAGGCAACACGTATTTATTTAACAATAACACAGGTCCCTAACACGAAGGGGCAATGGTCCCTTCTACCCAACAACCTAAGTAGGTACAGCCTCCGGGCTCACGTGCCCTAGCCACTGGGACCAACCACTCTCAGCCCTCCAGCTAACGGGACCTAGGGGAAGCTGACCCGACCCAGCCAAGGTCCTCGGGTCCCGACCACTGGCCCACTCGGACCCGGCCCTGAGAAGGAGATCAGGTCCGGGGATCCTCAGGGTCCTAGCCTAATGACCACTGGCCTCACTGAGCTCCAGCCCTTAGAAGGACGGCGGAGCTTGGGGTCCAGGGTGCTATCTTCAGGCGAGCTCTTGGGTCTACGGCTTGAGGCGGACTGCCTCGAGCCGCTCTGGGGTCCGGCTTTTATGGGGCTCCCAGGGTCACTCCGCCCCTGGCCACGCCCACTCTCTGGAACCTTCTGGAGGGACCTAGGTTGTTGCGCAATCCCCCAGCCCCCACTGGGGGCCTGGGGTGTCCCCCTCTGGTTCCTAACCGCCCCCCAGGTTGCCTGACCCACGAGTCCTACTTAGTACAGACCGGACCCGCTATTGCCCCCTGACTGGAGGTACATGTTTAACCGTAGTGGCGGCGGCGTATTACGCCCGACAATTACCCACCACACATGCGCACAATTATTACCAATATTGGTAATAATTGATAAAAATCATAAAAACGAGCTATATTTTATAGTTTTTACGATTTTACACAGAGCCTTAAATTAGCGTTTTTTTTACATATTTCATTGCAATTTGTCTCCGCATTTTAATAAATAACCGAGTTGAATTGCATATCATTGAAAAGCTTATTCTCTGGAGCAGATGTCTAGCTTAGTCATATATGGCTATTTACTTTGCTGTCACGGCAATAAGAGGGGGAACACAAGTGTAGAACTCTCAAATCTCATTGCTACTCGCATTGCAATGCCAGAATTGGCATTGCGATTTTCTCAAAATGACATTTTGCATGCCGAGTTTGACAACTCATGTTTCATAATAGGTAAAGTCACATAATTCTACATACTGCTTCCTACTTGGAGTAGCTTGAAATGTTCAGAGGGATTTAAAAAAAAAATATATTGTCTTTTTCATTTTATGTGGTATATCTATGCAGGTTACAGACCTGCAGTAACCAAAATCTGCAGGATGATCCAGAACCTGACTTTGAACTCGGGGAGTGTGATGATGAGATAGACGAACAGTTTCAGTGACACAAGGGTGGTGATTCTGATGGTATTACTGTGGTAGCTGTAGTATACATTGATACAGTGTGGTGATTCTGGACTTGGTTACCCTTGTTAACATCATGTAAGTACACAGAGCTTGATAATAATGTAACCTTCTTCACATATACCCATCACTAACGATATATATATGGGATTACATGTATCATTGACTAAGTATATGAGAATGTCAATGTTTATAATATGCAAGTAGTTCCTGACCTCGCTATGGTGTTCCGTATTATCCTGTGTTTTCATTGTGTATTTAAACCAATAAAGACCAGTTTGTGACCTAACTGGCTTTGGTCTATGTAGTTTTTCAGTAGCAATGCCCATTTCATCGTTCCGGACGCTGGTCATAGGGTATGGGTATCAAAGTCATGGTAACTACAAGCTGCCACTCCGCAAAGGTTACATCACAATATGTGATGGAGTGACTGGGTGTGTTGCTGTGACCTGCAGTGATGGTGGGTCAACAGCGTGGATGAGACGATAGTGTCTGGTGGACCCGGTCCCTCAGCATGGGTGGAGGAAGCAACGAGCAAATTTCACGGCAACAATAACCCCTTGGTCGTGGCGATGAGCGAAAGTGGAGTGGATCGGGGATTTGTGGGTCATCATCAGTCACGCCGACTGCCGCTTCACGATGTCCGGTGATGTGGTCATCATTACTGCGTAGACGACTTGGTACAGTTCGAAAGCTAAAATATGCAAACAATTCGCCTCCACGTATCCGTCCCTCCGCATTAAAAACACAATTATATATACAACAACCGCCATTCGCCACTAAGTGGCGGGGACGTCACCACGACGCTTGTGCCAGGCTATGTGCACCTTGAGGCTACCACGTGAAGTGTCGAACGCCCACTGGCAGGTCACGGGGCAGACCCAGGTGCCACGGGTCGACTGACTGAGATGACTGGCTGATGCACCTGTGCCCCCTACTGTGCCAGGCTAGGTGCACCAGGTCACGGGGCAGACCCAGCAGGTGCCACGGGTCTACTGACTGAGATGACTGGCTGATGCACCACCTGTGCCCCCTACTGTGCCAGGCTAGGTGCACTAGGTCACGGGGCAGATCCAGGTGCCACGGGTTGACTGACTGAGACGACTGGCTGATGCACCACCTGTGCCCCCTACTGTGTCAACCTGCTATGCCTTAGCCACCCGGCGCTCCGCTCGTTGTTGTGAGCGTCGCTCCTCCGCCCTCCGTTGTTGGAGGGCGACTGCCTCCAACTGCGAGGGGTTGGTAACACCTCCCCACCTTCAATAAATGACCACTAAACCACGACTGAAACAAGTATATACACGCAATTTGTACACATCCCATCAGCCACGCGGCTCTTCCTCCTGGGAGCGCATCACTTCAGCAGCATTGGTTCAGGACAAGCAGATGCAGGGAGGCATCACCACAGTGGCAACGCACTCGCCCCGCCACTCCAGACGCAGCCGTCGGGCCCCTCAAACCGCCTCGATGTTAAATTTGAGCTGCCGCTCGACATCCAACACCAGCCACGAGAAGGCAGCACACGGGCAAACGCCGCAACGACATCGACATTCAGTGTCTCGGCGGCAGCAGCAGCAGCACCAGAGCCATGCCTGCTTGAAACAGTGCCGGCCAGATGCGTGTGTGACATTATACAATGCGCAACGACACACGAACGCAACAAGTCCGCTCGCGTAGTTTGTGAGAACAACTCACTGTACAGCGCTGCTTCTCACTGTACGCGCCCTGGTGACGTCATCAGCCAAGCCCTTTTTGCGAGTTCGTGACCGTGACGTCACGCACGGTTACGACGTCATCCCAAAGTGTGCTGTGTGACGTCACGTCTCCGCAGGGGACCGCACGCGCTGAGCTCTGATTGGACGCGAGGGCAGGCAGTGGATTGGGCCCCCCCCCCCCCCGGAGGCCCCCCCCACCGCAGCATCTCGGAGCGGCTCCCGGGGCCCCGGGTAGTGGGGGCCCGGTTGGGGGGCTGGGTGGGGGGCCTCGTCACCTTGACGACGCAGCAGGTGCGGACACAGCACGTGCCTCGGCTCGTTTGTAGGTAATTTGCACACGTGTGTACACAGCACTATGGGGCCGTCCATAAATGACGTCACGCACCTAGGGGGGGGGGGGGGTCAGAAATTTATGACGATGTGTGACGGGGGGGGGGGGTTGAGAAATGTGACGTCACATAAAAATGCGCAACTTTAAATAAATATAGACAACACGTTCTACTTAATTAAATATACTTTTTTAAATGAATGTTTTCTCCTACAACATCAGAGTGCAGCGCCACATTAAATACGCACTACAATGACAGTGTAAAGCGATTTGAAGCACGTTTTATTGGGGGGGGGGGGGGGGGCAGAGCTTTGTGACGTCATATTTAAAAGGGGGGGGGGTCTGACTTTTTGTGACGCCGTGTGACGAAGGGAGGGGGGGGTCAAAAATCGTCCAAAATCTCGTGACGTCATTTATGGACGGCCCCTATATACACGTGCACAACAACAAGCTCCGATCGTTTGTGCCAGGCTAGGTGCTGGCCACCCAGAATCATCTTTATCCTGGAGACATTCCCCCTCGTGTGCCGTGTCGGCCTTCATAGGTGCTCGCTAATAACAGCACTTGCCCCAATAATCTGTTAAAGGCTATACGGGAGATCTTTGCCTTTGTGCGGCTGTCACAGTGTGGAGTATTTACAGTTAAAACTCCCAGGGTACACGTGTCGTCCAATCGGCTTTCAGTCGAGGAGATCTGAGCTCTTGTCGACGCCTATTGATGCGGGATATGACCTCTCCTGCCCAACGTCAAATATAATTTGTCAAAACTTTTCAACATTCATCCGGTTTTGATAAGTATCCAAAGCAACTGGCGTATTTAACACGTAGGCTTTCGCCACCAATATTCATAATAGGTTTCTTTTGGTTAGACCCCGTAAATATTTCTCTTGTATTTACAACCAGACTCATCAGGCGACAGCCAGAATGTGGCCTGATGAGGCTAGTTGTAATTACCGCCAGACGTCGTCCTCGAATTGTAAATGTTGTGGGTTTACTCTTCAAAACACTGATGTGCTGAACTAGTAACTAATTGACATGTTTTGTTTACGTGACAAATCTTACCAATTGACTGTGTCGGGTGGTGGCGGGTTTAACAACACATTTATATTTTACACGATCTAACCCAAAAAAAAACCTCTCCTTATGAATCGTCATATTCTCTCGCGAGTGAGCTGGTGCCGCGTTTTCGCAGGTGATGGAGACGGACGCAGCGCTGCACACGAGCGATTCGTTCGGCTTGTCTCCCGGTGGTGGTGAGTGGACGGGAGACGAGCTCTCACCGCTGCCCGGAGTGGCGGCGCGCATCGCTGACGGGCAGGGGCGGCCCCGAGACAAGCTGCCAGCAACTGGCACCTCCAAAACCCCCAAGGGCAGATCTTGGTAAACTGGGAAACATTTGCCCCTATTTTCCGTTTAATGTTTTTTAAGCGTATTTTTTTTAAACAGTCATAATTTTGATTTGAAGCTTTCGTGACTGCAGGGATTCGTATTCTTGGTTCTTTCGGTAAAGTCACGTAGAAGGGAAACAATCAAATAATATAAATATAAAACAATAAAATATGACTTTACCGAAAGAACCAAGAATAAGAGGCATAATTGTTTGGTTTTTCCGTCCTTCTGTCCAACCAATACATTCTCAGAAATGTTGAGAAATTGATTATAATTCATATGCCCTCTGTACTCGCACGGGAATTTAGATAATGACATCTTCGTTATTTAATTTGCATTTTTTTAATTTTTATATTTTTCCTAGAATTTTACATCCCACTTAACTTAATGCCCTAGGTATTCCCTGGCTCCAGACCAGATCCCTAACTAGCCCTTTCTGGCCTCAGAACCAGCTTTAAACCCCAGTCGTCTGCCAATTACATGCCTGAAGGCCCCATCACAGACCGGTCTGCCTTTTGCTGAAGACCCCGTCAGAGGCCTGCATACCATGTAAGGCCCCTTTGGAGACGGTTGTTCTACTAACAGACCCTGCTTTTGTCTATGTGCATGTGAGTGCGTTTAACTGGGCCACCCATAGGTCGAGTACATGGTGCGATGTGTAAATATCAGTCCTGGGGAGACAAATACAGCCGGGTGTGAGGGTCACATCACCACAGCATGCGCCGCACCAGCTTTAATTGGTGCTCGCTAGCAGCACTCGCCCCAATAGGCTGCAGTTATAGGGGCGTGTGTTTGCATGTGCAGGCCGCGTGGGCAGTCTACTGTGGCGCAGCTGCAGCGCCACGTTGAGGGGCTGCAGGAGCAGCTGGAAGCGGCAAACGTGCAGCTGGCACTGCTGGGCAAAGAAGACCACGGCTCGCGCCAGCAGCTGCAGCTTCTGGCCGGCCCTGGTATGACACGAACTTTGGAGTTCGCCAAACATCTCAATATAGGACCACAGAGCTTGGGAAATTGTTGGCGCCGATTTTGGCCACCTTCCCACAGCTTGTCTGTGGCTTCCTGATAAAACTGCGGCATGTTACACGTTCTACTGCAACGTTTTGAACTGCAATTTGCACGAATAATGCTGCTATGAAATCGCGACCTCGCGTTCGCAAACCCTATGTGACGTTTTCGAGTGCGACATCGTGGTGCCTGCAATCCGACTTGAATTACCCGGTTCGTGGCACAGGACGTTAACCGCCGCACTACTGTTCCACCGCCAGCCGAGAGCCTATGGTGGGGGTAGCAGTGACCCATTTGCGCACAGAGGCTTCGTAGATGTTGGTCGATTAGGGCTCATTCGTTGCTGATGATTTTGTGTTCCAGCAGCGAGCATCGATGGCGGTGAGCCAACCTGCCATGACCGGCGAAGGCCTCAAAAACGCGGGCAAATCCTGGGCCTCCACCACTGAGCTGCTGCCTGCCGAGCAGGCTGCTCTCGTAGGTGGGTATCTCCAGTGCACCGTCCCGTGTGTGTGCGCCCTACATGCCTCGTACACTTTGGTTGTGCAGCACATTATTTTAGACTCCTCCCAGAATGCCTGTCTCATCCCTCGGTAAATGCCCTGCATTGAAGCGCGACACGACACAGAGACACTCGATGTTTCAGTCCTTGAAGCAGAAGCAGGTTAAATATGGTGAACACTAAATATCCAAATTCATTCAGGTAGATTTACGTGAAGTCATTGGTAACTGAGCTGAGACTCGGCTCACGAAACTGAAGAACCTAGTCCCTGGGTTGAAGCTATTCAAAGATTCCCAGTGCTGCCGGTTCAACGCTGTGACACACCAACATCTTACAGATTGAGAGACGCCTAACCAGCAAATGCTGAAAAAATTAACAGGCTTTACCTTTTCAGACAAGAATACAGGTGTTAAAGATGTTCAAACACCAATTGACACCTATCACAAGGCATCAAGTCTGTATTAACCAAACATGCTTGTGGTGAAACATACAAACGTGCTTTGGTAATAATGCTTAGTCCTTAAAAGTGATTGGCCTACACCAGCGACACAGCCTCCTTTATTGTCTTGTCGCAACAGTGTTAGACCAAAGAACGCCAAAAAGCGAACAGCAGAAAGACAATGCAAATATCAGTGCATGAATGGCTCAGGTTGAGCAGGTGCTACTTTCTGTGTTATGCAAACACGCGGAGACAAAGCACGTACGCCTCTTAGGCGGGAGATGTTGAATTTCAGGTCACACTGGGGTGGTGGCGCGGCCCAGCCATAGAGTGGTCGCTACTTTGCAGGTAGCCCTGCCCTTTGCCTGTAACATGAAGCCAGAACATTTTAAACCAAGGACAAGATTCTGATTAAGCTTCAAGGCGTTTGGTGGCTCTTCTATTGCCTCATTGCCTTAACGTTCCTGGCCATCTCCGTCTTCCTCCCCTCCTTCATGGGTGCCAGACGGAGCGGGCGGTGTCGGCAGGCCAGACTACGGGGTGACGTGGAGGCGTGACGAGGTGGCCACTCTCTTGAGCACGTGGGCCAGCCGTTCTATTCAGCGTAAAGCTTTGCGAGTCGGTACACAACTGCAGAGTGTTCCACGAGATCGCCAGTGCCGCACCAAGATCAAGAAGCTAAAGAGCCGGTACCAGCAGCTGCGGGAGTGGCAGCGCGCTGGCGCCTGTATCAGCTGGCCCTTCTTCCAGTGTATAAAGGCCATCATGGCGGGCGGGCAGCATGGCGATGATGCTGGAGAGTCAGGGGACGAGGGCCAGCATGCCGGCCTCCTCTTCGGCTGTGAGCACACACGCCCACGCGCACGTGCCACCGTCTGCCATGTGTGGAGGCCCCGTGCCGAGAGCCCTGATCGTCCCTGTGCTGGTTCAGCACTGGGCTCGGCAGAATTATTCTTTTTATGACACTCGTTTAACCAGCAAAGCCTCTCTTAAAGTAATTTGTGGGGAATTTGTGGGTAATTTATCGAATGTGACAAATATTTAAGGCCGTGTTGTTCATGATAACAGAAAACCGTAGTTGATTTCAGCCGTGTGTCGTGGCTGTTTGCTAACGAGGCCGGCCTGTTGGTGAATGAGACTCCTCCCCCCACCCTGGCCGACGCTGCTGCAGGTGACAGGGACTATAAGCGACCCGACACGGGCGAGCAGGCATTGGCGTCAGCAGCGGAGCCCAGCAGCGCCCGTCCCGTCAAACCCTACGACGAGGAGGAAAGCGGGGAGCGAGTGCAGATGTCCGCAGTCTCCCTGGCACACGAAGCTTCCCCGCCGCTAAAGCCCAGCCTGGGAAATGGTGCCAGAGCACCGCAGCAGAAGCGGCAGCAGCACCAGCGACTGCTGGACATGGAGACGTGGCGGGCGGAGCGCCGGGAGGGAGCGATGCGTGAGCTGGCGCGTATCGTGAGCAGCGTGCTGGGCTCCGGCGACTTCACCAGCATCGTGGCCCCGCCGTCGCCCGTGCCGCACTCCCTGTCAGCCCGGGGCCCCCTCTCTGACGCCGCTCTGGGGGAGTTGCTTCCCCCCGGGGCCTCGCCGGTGCTGGGGGTACTCGCCCCGGATGCGCTGGCGTCACAGGGTGACTCCTCCTGTCGCGTAAACTGTGGCTGAGCGCGTGTGACCTAGCAGCTTGGGTGGGGTTGGTGTATCACGTGGAGATAGGGCAGCGCGGTTGTGTGTCACTTCTGCAGCTCACCTCTCCCTCCCAAGAGCAGGGGCGGTGACTTGATCCAGCGGCAGTGTATTCGCCACTTGTTGTAAAGCTTCACGGTTCGATAACAGCAGGCCTTCCTGATGAAGACTGCAGTATGTCATAACCATAATAATCAGAACAAATAGTGTGTCGGCGTCATGGCCCAAATTTGAAAAATACCAAAATTACTCACTTGGGATTACGCACACAGCAGCAACCATCTCCCCCACTTGCAGACTAATGCCCGATTGAAGGCTGTTGCTGAGTCACCTTCTGCCGCACAGGGACTGCTAACATTTGGGCGTCCCCTTGATGTAAGGCACTTTGGGTTAAAGAGGCATTTAAGCAAGTGCCATACAATGGTAGATTAGGGTTATTACTATGGTCACGTGAGTGATCAGCCTAAAATTCCACAGCAGGACCTGTCAAACAAGCAGACAGCTTGCACCTTTTCTTAGAAAGGATTTTAAGTTATAATTTGTTTTCTAAATATTTTTCTATATATTTTTCTACATATTTATTGTGGATAGACAAGATCCGTGAGTAGTAAAGTGCAATTATTGTTCTGGCAAATTTCGTGTGCACCAATGGTGCTCTTCAAAGAGTATCATGATGTCAGATGTGCAAAATGACAACACTCCACGTACACCACGTGACAATCTGCTGGCTGTGTCGGTTTGTAGAGGGTTCTTCACGTCACAAATTTGGTCACATCATTACGTGGCCTGAGTCCAAACTCGATGATGAATCATGCCCGCCTAACAGCTCTCCGAGTCAAAGATCTGGCCAGTGTCAAGAGTGAAGATGGTTTGGAAAGTGCCTTTCCTCCCTCGATCCCAACTCGATCGAACACAGAATGGCCGATGGTGGCCCCACATCGGCTGCCAGTTTTCCAGATGTGCAGCTGAGGCCCCAAGTCTCGGGTCCTCCCGTTGTGCAGCACGGTTGTTCCTTTTACACAAATAAAACTCGAAAACGAGGCCCGAAGTCCAAGGGATTAAATGTCACATGTCTCCAATTCAAAGAAACTCCCATGTTTACTTATTTGCAGTCGGCGAAATATTAATGTAGAAGCGCCGGTTTGAAACGCTTCACCCTCCAGCAGCCCAAGGTGACTGCGGCTCTCTCTCTCTGCGGAAACATCACGGAGTGGCCACAGTAACCAAGGCCTGGGACAGTAACGCGTGTGGTCGCTGTTGGGAGCAGTCTCGGTGTGGCGTACCGGCATATTCCCACTACTGCTCACGTGAAGAATTTCGTCTCAAAAATAATTGTTATTGTAACAAAAACATTCTCAACCATCAACACTGCACTAAAGTAATTTTCCCAGTACTTAAGTTATTCCCCCCCGAGTTGATATACTTTTAACTAACAGTGTGGATGGTGTTCATGGTCTGTGGTGTTCAAACTCTAGGTAAAAGCAGCCCAATCATCATCTTCAAAAAAGCCAATTAAAATTCGGGAGTATCGTTTTGTTTGTACAGCGCTTCGAGATTTCGTTATTAAAGACGCTTTATAAAATCAAGATTATAATTGCCAATTACCAATCGCTTACCATCAACTCCCCCAAGGACGGTACAATGAGCAGTGCGATGAAGCTGCACTGCATGTTTCAGTTTCATTTATTTGGCATAGCCCTGTGAGCCATTCGGCTCTTGAATCGGGTGCACACCGCAACAAACAAAAAACAAAAACATGAACAAGAAAACATCTTAAAGTGACTATGCGCAAACAGAAAAATTATCATGTTAGCAATGTAGCAGTGGTTAAGATATTCCAGGGCACGTCGTCTAAAAATGTTGAATATTCCACCTCCGGTATTTAAAGGGAAGACTGGGCCCTCGAGTGGCTTTGAGAGTGGCGCCTTGCCATCGTGCAGCAGACTCTGGACGGGAGCCTCCCCATGTGTCACCTGGCACTACTGCCGTGAATGGAGACGTCGCTATCACGTCCGTGTTGCTACAAAGGCCCCCCCCGTTTGTACTGCACGGGAGACCACGCGAGGCGTCTTGGTAAGAAGCGGACTAATGCTCCGTTTAACACGGCACGTGGACACTGTTCTTGACTCTCGCCTTTACTTCCCGCAGCACCTCTTTATAAACACCTCTATCCTCTCCCAGCTATATGTTTATTTGAGGGTTTTCACCAAATCCCCAACTCCCTTATTCGTTATTTTACAAGGCGTGGACCCTACAACAGTATAACTACCCCTATAATCATTGCCCCGCGCCTCTGTGAATCTCTGCCCAGTGCCTCTGTGAACATCTGCCCCGTGCCTCTGCCTCTGAGTCTCTGCCCCGTGCCTCTGCCTCTGTGAATCTCTGCCCCGTGCCTCCTGTGAATCTCTGCCCCGTGCCTCTGTGAATCTCTGCCCCGTGCCTCTGTGAATCTCTGCCCGTGCCTCCCTCTGTGAGTCTCTGCCCCGTGCCTCCCTCTGTGAATCTCTGCCCCGTGCCTCTGTGAATCTCTGCCCCGTGCCTCTGTGAATCTCTGCCCCGTGCCTCTGCCTCTGTGAATCTCTGCCCCGTCCCTCTGCCTCTGTGAATCTCTACCCAGTGCCTCCCTCTGTGAATCTCTGCCCCGTGCATCTGCCTCTGTGAATCTCTGCCCCGTGCCTCCCTCTGTGAATCTCTGCCCCGTGCCTCTGTGAATCTCTGCCCCGTGCCTCTGTGAATCTCTGCCCCGTGCCTCTGTGAACCTCTGCCCAGTGCCTTCCTCTGTAAATCTCTGCCCCGTGCCTCTGTAACTCTCTGCCCCGTGCCTTCCTCTGTGAATCTCTGCCCCGTGCCTCCCTCTGTGAATCTCTGCCCAGTGCCTCCCTCTGTGAGTCTCTACCCCGTGCCTTCCTCTGTGAATATCTGCCCCGCGCGTGGCTTGAGTTGCGTGTTCACCGCGGTCTCTCGTGCAACGCGACACTTCGCCGGCGGGACCCCTCCCGCCCGTTGTTCGTCGCGGTCCCTCACCTCTCACCCCGCGTCGTCACCGTGCCGGGTCTGGCAGCGGCGGCAGTGTTGGTGAGTTCCTCTCTGCTGGTTTCCCCTCTCTCCTCCTCCTGTTGTTGTTCTTGTTGTTCTCTCGTCAGCGCGAATCACCTCTCCCGTAGCTTGCCAATGAATCACGCGAGCGGCGAATGACGCGGAGTGTGTCACCCGTTTCCGCGGCCTGTCCGTGTCGAGGTCTCCGCCGCTCGCTCATCGCCAGCCGGCGCAGCCCCTCGCGTCATTCCGACACGAGCGGCGTCTCGTCGATTGTCCACTGTAGTCGGCGTGTTTCACGCGCCTACACCGGCCTTGTACGTGTCACGCGCCTACACCGGCCCTTGTACGCCGCTGTTGTGCGGTACAGTGCCGGCGGTGGTGTGTGTCTGTGTGTGTATATCCGTGTGTGTTGTGTTATCTGTGTGTGTGTATATCCGTGTGTGTATCTGTGTGTGTGTTGTGTTATCTGGGTGTGTATATCCGTGTGTGTGTATCTGTGTGTGTGTTGTGGCGTTATCTGTGTGTGTATCCATGTGTGTATCTGTGTGTATATCCGTGTGTGTATCTGTGTGTATATCCGTGTGTGTATGTGTGTGTGTATATCCGTGTGTGTGTGTGTTATGTTATGTGTGTGTTGTGTTATCTGTGTGTGTGTATATCCGTGTGTGTGTATCTGTGTGTGTGGTGTTATCTGTTTGTGTGTATATCCGTGTGTATATCCGTGTGTGTGTGTTATGTTATCTGTGTGTGTATATCCGTGTGTGTGTGTATCCGTGTGTGTGTGTTGTGGTGTTATGTGTGTGCGGTCTACGAACAGCTGCGCTTTGCGAGTTCCTCTTGAAGGTGATGATTGCTGCGCCGCATGACGAGTGACCGGACGGGGGAGAGAGAGAGAGAGAGGTCACTTCGTGTCACACGCACGGACAGTCTCACTCGCAGACACCCGTATCAGGGACAAAGATCCACTCACACCATCATATAGCCCTTCACACGGACTTTTGGGGAAAGTTTGCGAGCATATGAAGGCCGGTACGGCACACAAGGGGTTGGTGGGTGACCACCGACTTTGTCTCCCCAGTAGCGACGCTTACACAGATGGTTAAGTACTCATTTGAGGCAGAGCCGACTTAGGAGAGGCCCAGGACTGGCTCGGATAATCGTCGTCGCTGTTGGCCCTAGAGCGGGACTCGAACTCGGGTGGCCGTGTTCGTAGCGCAGACGCGATAACCGCTACACTACCGCTCTCCATTCGCTTGTGCCAGGCTAGGTGCACTTTGGCGCCACGTGAGGCGTCGAAGGCTCGCTGGCAAGGAGGTCACGTGACAGACCCTGCAGGTGCCATGGGTTGATTGAGATGACTGGCAGATTTCACTAAATTAAAAACTATAACTATATTTTACATTCTTGGTTCTTTCGGTAAAGTCACGTAGAAGAACCAATAATATGAATCCCTGCAGTCACGAAAGCTTTAAAACGAAACTTTTATTTTTTACAGGTAAGGCCCACTGAGCTATTTCACATTTTTCAGACGCAACCTGGCCACAAATGATAGCTCAGCTAAGTGCCGTATGATGTTGAAGTGTAAAGCAGCCAAATACTCTTAAGGGGCCGTCCATAAATGACGTCACGCACCTGGGGGGGTCAGACATTTGTGACGAGGGGGGGTCAGACATTTGTGACGAGGGGGGGGGGGGGGTTTGAGAAATGTGAGTCTACTTTATTAAATAGACTTTTTAATAAATGTTTTCTCCTACAACATCAGAGTGCAGCGCCACATTAAATACGCACTACAATGACGATAGTTTAAAGCGATTTGAAGCAAGTTTTATTTGGGGGGGGGGGGGGCAGTGCTTTGTGACGTCATATTTGAGGGGGAGGGGTCTGACTTTTTGTGACGCCGTGTGACGAAGTGGTGGGGGGGTGGGTCAAAAATCGTACAAAATCGCGTGACGTCATTTATGGACGGCCCCTAAACGCGCGTTTAGAGTATTTGTTGAAATATAGAGGGAAAAAGCGGATGAGCCGGAGAAAAATCCACGCGACCACTGGGAGAACATGCAAATTCCAAATATACAGGCGTCACGGTGGGGATCGAACCCACAACCTCGTGTATATCAGGCGAGGAGGTCCTTCTATTGCCACTGCGGTGCCCCTGATGCACCAAATGTGCTTCCTACTCTGCCAAATTGCTCTGTTTTAGCCTTCCGGCGCCCCGCTTGTGAGCGTCGCTCCTCCGCCCTCCGCTGTTGTTGGAGGGCGACTGCCTCCAACTGCCCAGTAGCGTCCTTCACGAGCCTCCTCCCGAGACGCCGATCTTGACACCACTGGTACCAGTCATCGGAAAGTCCAATCAGCTCCACATCTTCCTGTACCACATCAGTCAATCTCTGCTATAGGCCGTATTGCGCCCGTTTGTATGTATGTTGAACTTCTTTCGCACCGTACGTAGCCAACCGTGCTAATCGGAGGTGCGGGGGAAACAACAAACTCAACACAAAAAATACTTAACAAAGAAATTCGTTTTCAATCTACATTTTAAAGTGCATACCTCCAGTGGCTTCCTAATATTTGGAAGGAAGAGCGTTCCAGACGGCCGCAGAAGCGCTTCTCAAAGCGCGCGTCTTTCGATGGCTAGGCAAAATTCGCTGCGTGGATGACCAGAGTTCATGTGATAGTTTATGTTCCTTGAGATCATCAAGGTATTGTGGTTCATTTGTGGCAAGCACTCTGTGTATAATGAGTGCAATTTAGCTTGGTGAACACTGGTACCCATCACGACACGCACCTCTATCCAGCCAAACAGAAGCTGCTTGGGCAAGCGGTGGCTGGGCGTACGGGCTACATGACTCTGCTAATGTAGCCTTGCCTGCCGGAGGAACTTACCAATTGGAATGTGTCCAGATCTTTCAAGGGTTTGTGAGCTCACACAATCCAGCTGGGTTAAACCCAGAATTGATCGTAGGCAGGCCAGAATGAATGTTTATAGCGGGTGCAGGTGTTTCTTCAGAGGGGTACACATTTCGCAAACATGGATAAGGGAAGGCATAACTGTGGCCGAGAAGATTGGAAGCTTCGTCTGGAGCGACAGACCAAGAAGCTTCCACACGATGTGTTAGGCAGCTGATAAAAAGATAATGCCACTCGACTGATTTGGAGTGAGACCTTTGCTGTCAAACCGGAGCTGGTAATAAGCACACTACACAGGTATGAAAACTTGTCCACTTTCTCCACAACTGCCCCTTTTCTCATGGGGAGTTAAGGTGGTGGAGAGTTTGATGGCACAACATACCCAGGGAGGTGGTTGATTTTGATGGTGATGATGGTAATACCCCACCTCTTCGGTTCAGCAGGAAAGCCTCTAACTCCTTCTCAGTGAGCAGCAATCACCAAATCAGCATACATAACATGGTTTTAGCAATAGGGAGTCATTCCTTGATCGCACCTGGGCATTGATCACTCTCCCATTGTACCCGTACCAGATATAAATTCCTCTGGTACAGCCATGGAAGGTTTCCCAAATTACGTGGTTGAAAAAGATGTTAAATAGTGTAGGAGCCAGAGGACATCCCTGTCACACCCAAAGGTGAACAGGGAATGGCTTTGACTCCCGCCCACACAGCTTTTCCCTGGCCTGCCCACCATCGTGACCAGATCAACAAAACAGAGATTTATGTCCCGATGAATTTATCTACACCTCTGTTGTAGCAGACGGACAGAGAATTTGGCGTCTGTGCAGGACAACCCCGACATGAAACCACATTGGGTCTCCGCAAGCCTCTCATCAGTGTGCCTGGCAAAGCAATTTTGAATAATCCTTGCCCAGCACACCGAGGAGGGAGATGCCCTGATTGTTATTACAATTAGTATGGCTCCCCTTCATAAACAGGAGGACCACCAGATCATCCTTCAAATCCGACGGAACCCATCCTGTGGTCCAGACAGTTGTGATTATATCATGTAGAGCAGTCTGCAGGCAAACGCCACCCTTCATGATAACGTTTTTTGGGTTAGGTCGCTGTTCCTCCAACACCTACAGCTACTGCGCTTGGGATGTACTTGCTGCTGTCAATTACAGTGTTCACTCTTTCATAATAAACGTTTTTTGGGTTAGATCGCGTTGTTTATAAATGTGTCGCGATAACGCGATCTAACCCAAAAACGTTTATTATGAATAATATTGGTCGCGAAAGCCTACGTGTTAAACTGAGTGTTCACTCTGTTTGTGTTTTACAGAGCGATCGCTGCCGGTTTAAGTTGTTCATTCAGCTATGGCACTTGAATAGCGCTATCCCAGAGGGGAGAGAGGAGGGGAGGCGGACGAGTGCAACTTAGGTGGCACAGAGCCCAGCCTCGGCCCCGACTCGGGCACCTCCACACATCCAGCTGCGTCGACTGCACCGGAGCCAAGGCCGTACCCACATGGCCGTACCTCACAGTGGAGCCACGGTCTCTGGGCTCGCAGAGCGGCATCTCCACTGAGGCCACTGCCGATCTCGCGAAGCCACGGGCGGCGTGGAGCCGAGAGGACGGAGTGAGTCGGGGAGGCCCTGCGCTGAGACCAGGTGACGTTACCCCTAAGGTGAAGGGTCCGCGCTGCACCTCCTGTCCTTCCATGTCTCGGAGGTTAGGATGGGAGGTGTGGAATGGGTGTGGGGTTTTGAGGCTGGGATTGGCAATAAGGCCGCAAACCATTAAGTAATTCATTGATTGAATGATGGTTCGAGCATCGGTGAGAGCTGCAGTATGATTTTTATCTTCTGTCGTACCGTACATAGCCAACCTTGCTAATCCTTTGGGCAGGGTCTGCAGGAGGCAGAGAAACAAGGAGGCCTCAGCAGGCTGCCTGCAGATTGCAAAGCAGTGTGAATACTCATCATTCCCAGCGATTCGATGAATTGTCACAATGCAGAGTTGTGGTCTGATTCAATAATCCATTATCTTTTTACATCGTGAAAGCAGCTACCACTGGTCCCTCCAAGGGTCACATAAACACATTATATACAACATTTAATGTATACAATTATAATTAGCTGTTCGTCAGTCAACTGCTGAACGAAGACCTTCCCATTGCATGTTGGCTATGGGGTTTGTTTGCAGGTTGGTTAACAGGAAACCCCACAAACATTTCAGACTCCACTTGGCAATGATGTAAGCCATGGCCGGGAATCAAACTCAGGTATACAGTTTCACAGAGCATTGCGCTAACCGCTGCGCGGCTGCTCCCCCCATACAACAGATGTGAATGGGAAAACATCAACGCATTATTAGTTTTAACATTAATATTCATACATCGATTAAAAGTTCAAACCTCATAGTAATGGAGGTTTGGGTTTACTCTGGCCACTCAAAGTTTTTTCTTACATTTACAAAATGTACTATGCAGGAAACTGATTTCATTAAAATTTTCAGTAACCCTGAGACTCAATAAAGCTTTCCTGAGTAAATGTCTCTAAATAAAAATCGCTGTTGCTAGTGTAGTTGATTTTGTTTTTCAAGTGCTGTTGTAAATGCGTATTTTGGCTTTTTCCTTTGCATTGAGTTGCAATTATGTTATGGGCATTAAGTCACGAGACTACTTTCCACCCTAAACTCTTCGCAGTGAGTCGTGTAGTGTTACATCGTGTCCTGAACTCTCGCAGCAAATGCCGCAGTGTTACATCGTGGGGCAACATGGTGCTGAGATGTTTTCTCCCTTACCTGGTATGCAGGAGGAAGTGGGTTTAATCACAACCCTGAAGCCTGTATATTTGGAATTTGCATGTTCTCCCCGTGGTCGCGTGGATTTTTCTTCAGGTTCTCCGTTTTTTTTTCGCTCCACTTTTAGAGACATGTGTTTGGATCATTTGGCTGCGACTATACATTCCTACATGTGATAAGCCATTTGTTGAGCTATCATTTGTGACCAGGTCGCTTCTGATAAAGTTAATGGCTCAGTGGGCTTTACCTGGTACATGTAATAGTTTAGTTTAAAATAGTTTAGTTTAGAATAGTTTAGTTGAACCCTCACAGTGAGTGGTGAGTGTCACCTGGTGTCCTGAACCCTCACAGTGAGTGGTGAGTGCCACCTGGTGTCATGAACCCTCACAGCGAGTGGTGAGTGTCACCTCGTGCCCTGAACCCTCACAGTGAGTGGTGTCACCTCGTGCCCTGAACCCTCACAGTGAGTGGTGAGTGTCACCTCGTGCCCTGAACCCTCACAGTGAGTGGTGAGTGTCACCTCGTGTCCTGAACCCTCACAGTGAGTGGTGAGTGTCACCTCGTGTCCTGAACCCTCACAGTGAGTGGTGTCACCTCGTGCCCTGAACCCTCACAGTAAGTGGTGTCACCTCGTGTCCTGAACCCTCACAGTGAGTGGTGAGTGTCACCTAGTGTCCTGAACCTTCACAGTGAGTGGTGAGTGTCTCCTCGTGTCCTGAACCCTCAGCAAGTGGTGAGTGTCACCTCGTGTCAGAAAACAGCTTTGGAAGATTACCTTGGCACAACAGTTGAAGTCCTTGCAACAGGCCTCTTATACACACTCAGGGTAAAAGGATCTGTGTTTATTAAGTGCTTAACTGCCACTGACGCTTACAAAAACACAAGTCACAGGAATCACTTGAGCAAAAGAGCAAAGGAGAGCGTTATGATTTTAATATTGTGTCCAGGTTTAACTCAATTTAGTTGTATGCAATTGCCGTTGTGTTCAGACACTGTGTGGCAAGTTTTCATGATATTTGATGTGTCCTCTGTGTTATTTGCTGTAGATAATTGTTCCTGTACAGTGTGTAGTATCCTTCCAGTATTAAGGTTCCACATAATACGAATTATTGTTATTATTCGAGAGGGGAAAAGACAACAGATTACGACAGTGAGGGACATTATAGACACAAGGCTAGAGGGTGACCCACGCAAACCAGGTCACATCAGTCACTGCCAAAACCCTCAGCATTAAGGTGATAGTGCAGAGGTGACTCTCATGCCTCACAGCATAAAGTACCTGGGTTCGATTCCTGACTCAGGTGCCTTTCTTTGTGGAGTCTGTTCTTTTCCCCTGTTCTGCATGGTTTTCCTCCAGCTTCTCTGCTTTCCTCCTATAGCAAAAACCATACAGCGTAACTGGTATTGGCAACACATCCCAATGCCGAAAAATCAGCTGCAAATTACTCTGTTGGGATGACACACAGCAGCACCATCGTCCCCCTACTGCTAAAACTTGGCAGGACCCTCCTGAAAAAGAGTTGAGACTCAGCGAGGCTTTCCTGCACAAACCAAACGTAAAAAAATAATAAGACAAATTAGAGTCCAGCAACAAGAGAGGACTACATGACTGCCCTAATCTGCTGTCCAGGCATCCCACTCAATCAGCACCACCCACTCTCACCGACCACCAACCACCCATGCCGCCACCCTGCTGTAAGTGGCAAGGACTAGCAGAGTCTCGGTGTCATTGGCACAGACTATTGGCAAGGTGGGGCAATGTGAGCAGTTGTACAGGTCTCTCCGTGAGAGATGCTAAAGATTGAAATAAGTAGGATGCATCTGTCATGGGCACTGGCCATTGGGTATGATGATGACACTGGATAGATGGTGGAAAACCCAGGAGATTCCCCTTTACACTATTTTGTGATGTACCAGCGGCAGATCCTGGGGTCCCCAGGATCTGATCCCTGGGCAGGCCCTGGGATCAGACGCAATGGCAGTGATAAGGGTGAGGGCCAGCAATGACCAGTGTGGTGATGTTTGATTAAACAACCCCCACGACCAACTGTGGATTTCTTTATTATAAAACATTCTATTTTGTTCCAGAAACGCCCATTACACATTTACATGGAGGAATGCCGTTGCGGGTTTGGTGAGATTTTGAACAATTAAACCTTCTGTGTTGAGTTCACCACCAGAGCCTGTTATGGCAGCTCGGCACGTGGTGGCTGGGGAGGAGGCGCGGGTCGCGCCAAAGGAAGCAGTGCCACGGGCGTCCAATTCAACCAACGCTCCACGTGACGCTGGTCACAATGATCACAACCATGAGTCCCTCAGTGCCTACCCGGCCGTCTTTAGCCGGCAAACTAATCGAAGACCCAGGGCAGCAATGAGCCGGCTTCGGCGTGCAGTAATTTCCAGGTCATTTTTCAGCATTGGGATGTTTGGCCAACGGCAGTTACAATGTATGGGGGTTTTTTTTAGCTATGGGAGGAAACCAGAGAACCTGAGGAAAACTAGTGCAGAATAGGGGGAGAGGGAATGTACAAACCCCATGCAGAAAGATGCTCAAATCAGGAATCGAACCCAGGAAACGTATTTCTTTCAGGAACGAGTGTTACCATGGCACCACCACCCCCTTGCTACTGGACGAGTTCATTCTGAGTGCCTGCAGCTGTTATATTGAGATCTCTTGCACTGCCAAGCAAACACCTACATGTGTCGTAAATGTCTCACCGTTCTGTAATGCCATCTCCCAACAACGTGGGGCAAAGCGGGGCACAGTTTGTAGTGGGTGGTGGTGAAGAGCCAGCTCCGCATTTTATGAGCGGTGCCAGATGCAGACTAAACTCTCTATCATATGGAATTTAAAAATAAACTGACAAAACATACCCGCGTGTTGAATCTGATAAACCATGCGGTGGCATCGGGAGCTGCTTGATGTACAGCGTTTGTTCCTCTTTATGTAAGCATGTGTAGTGTTGTAAGGACGAGCAGACTTCTTATGGAGGCACACTCTGTTTATTGTATTATTTCCTTATACAACGCTTAACACACACAGAGGGATATTCGGTCCCCTCACCCGATACCCTAGGGAGGTACAGCCTCCGGACCTGGCGGGACTCACACGTCTACCGCTAACCTCCTTGATACCTAAGGAGGTACAACCTCCGGACTTGGCGGGACTCACACGTCTACCGCTATCCTAGTCCTCCGGCTAGGACCTAGGGGAGGCTATCTGACCCACCGCTGGCCCGGTGGGTCCTGACCACTGGGTATGCCGAGCCTTAGCCCTTAGAAGGGCTGAAAGGCTGGTCCAGGGTCCTAGCTAGGCTTCAGCCCAGTCTTCTGTCTTCGTGCAGGGAGAGAACTCCTCGAGGTCCGTTGGGTCACCCGTCTTATACCCCTTCGTGGCCAGGTAGAACCAATCATACATTCCCACGTGGAACCGTCTGATTGGTTCGCACCAAACCCTGGCCACGATCCGTTTCACCTCGACTGACCCCAACCGTTGTACCCAGGGGTAATGCTGCACCGCCCTGGTGGCAACGCGGGTTACGCAACAGCGCGTAGTTAACACCTCTACATCACCCCCTCCTTCGGAAGCTCCAGCCGTCCCGGCTGCAACAATGGGAAACTCCGAAATTACCAATGGTAGAAGAATTGTGAGTGTGCCTCACGAACAACAAGAACAATTAAACCCCTATAAATACCCCCCTTAACAACATAACGTATGTACAAGGCACTAGACATGCCAAAAAACATTATAACAACCGGCGAGATTTTGCGCGCGTGCGTTTCGCGGGACCATCGTAGGGGATGGCAGGCTTTGTTGGCGGCACAAGGGAAGGAGGAGGATGAGCCAGAGCATCCGGTGGGCCTTTATGCATCTCCACGGGG